GTTTACAAACCTGTCGTTTCGCCTTCGTTTTTATAAGGGTAGATAACCATATCCGTGTCCATTTACTGAATGATTTATATAAATAATATTTCTAATTCATTTATATTTAATTGTATTATCAAAATCTGAAGCATGTTTCGCTGATTTCAAATATGTATAACATCTGTATGTTTGACTTTTGTTATTATTATTACTGTTCGTTCTTTGTCTGAAATGTCTCATTCTGTTATGTTTATACTTGGCAATTTGATTCTCTAGCTGGTCGGTAACTTCTGGGGTTGTAGTTTCGATCCCTGGTGTGAGCGTATGTGGCTTGGAGATAAGGGGTGCCTTCTCAACCTCGTGGGTTTACTCCGGTTTCCTCCCACAGCAAAGACCTATGCGCGTGCGCTGAGATAATGAAAATGAAAAATAAGACTTGTCTGCAATATCACTTTCGGTGGAAGCGGACGTTAAACACTAAGAACAACAACATTCTCTACAACTGGTCTACGATATCACGTGGACATAAAACTCTAGAAATGAACGAATGAACGTTCAATAAAACTCTAGAACCTGCATATATTGGTCTGCATTAATATAATTTGTTCATAATAAATACGCATTTAGAAAATTTTGGACTTCCCTCATTTAGGCTAACTCCTTACCTTTTCCGGTGAGGGTTACTTCCTTTTGTCAAATCCCATGAACGATTTATGGGATTGGTCGATAAAAATAGCACAAGCGGTTAGTAGAGAAGAACGGAAGGAAACCACTGGCGATGTCGGAGGAGTTCTTTGATGTGGCAATAAGCACATCTGTCTGGTATAATATTTTATGCCCAGCTAACAGGGGATCTTTAAATGTTCTGTCAGTTTATCGTCCCACACGAAATACTTGATAGCACCAGGGGGGTTACATTGGTGAAATTATGGTTTAATCTCCACTTACTCACGATAATCTTACCTAGAGCACCAGTCTGTGGCTACATCACCAACTATAAATGAGAGGTTGAAGTTTTTCTTCGGTTGTGGTAAAATCCCCTTTGGTTTTATAAGTAAAACATATAGCTAGACCTGCCACAAACCCTCACTTTTACCGTAAAGACAGCCCGGTCAGTTAACTCAAATTTCTTCATTTATAGATACAGCAATATTGATACAATAGTGGATTATTATGTCGGACAAAAACGGTATTAGCAGTTAAATTGACAAAAGGGGGATAAAAATGCGTTGTATATCTTCAAAGCTTTATGACGCAAAATTCATGCAAGTGTTTCAGGGTGTTCATTCATGTTATTTGACATCCGCAGTACCCCCAGTGATATCGTGCCGTTCTACTCCACTGTGCGATACCATTGGTATACCGAGGATGGTTATTCCAATAATTTGTCTCCATTGGCCAAGTTGGTGAAGAACAGTGGGATTTTACACCTCATTCGTTTCTTTTTTTTTTCTTTTTTTCCCCAACAAGCCTAACATTATAAACGAATGAGGGCATTTCTTCATAATCCCGTTTACTCTGCTTTGAGCTAAACCATCCGAGCAACAGACAAGGCTTCTTTTGCGTTAACACCCTCCAAAAAATCAGGGCCAAGATCAATCAACAGATTGGTCGAAATATTGCCCTGGCGAAATGTTCACTCCATAAAACATTTTCTATTATGTGTGTATAAATTTTTACAATACATGTGTATTAGAATTATCGATCTTATTGTACAACAAAATACAAACAAACAATCAATCAACGCAAAGAGACAAACAAACGCAAAAATGTGCACATGATAATTAAAAACCCCCAGGAAAATTACATTTTTTGTTCAGATGGTTGTCTAACCCTTCGTTTTTCGTTGTTGGTAGAGTACGGTGTCTGCAAAGAGAACAAGAGAAAGGGCAGTATTTAACATAAATTTTCAAGTACTGCTATATTTCTCTTTTTCTCTTTCCGTGCTCTGCGTAGCACACAAGTTGAGTGTGACTCAACTTGACAACTAAAGGGAGGTAAATCCAAAATAGAATCACACGATCATTTTTGAAAGAGGGTACTCCCATAGAGTTATGGCACACACAGGAGCTTTATATTGTATAATAAAATGGGTTGGGTAAATTCGAACTAAACAAGCCAACAGTGAGGCTGATGTCCCCCGCCGAAATCCAAAAATAAATAGATGACATATATTAATTAATCGCACATTTATTCTTTTTCAAAAGTATAGAGCAATCAAACTATACATCAAGTTTCATCACTCTCTATCAGATAGTTTCAAGATTATCTTGTCCCAAAGCATCGACCAATGAAATTGATTAGCTCTGCTTAGTTTCAGCTCGAAATATTAATCATTGAACTCAGTCAAAACATTCACCTAATTAACATCTACATCAAGTTTAAACATTCTACCTCAATTAAAAGCAGAGTTGTTATATCGCTCCTTAGCCTAAGCCGGAAATTCTCACCGTCGAACTTAGTCAAGATAATGATATAATGAATCTTTATTCCGAGTTTCAGCGCTCTCACTTCATTATAACCAAAGTTGTCGTGCCCCAAGGCATCAACCAATCAGATTGCTTATCTCTACTTACCGCAAGCAGACAATGTTCATCATCGAACTCCATCAAGGCATTCACCTAATGAACGCCTACACCAAGTTTGAACATTCTACCTCATTTAGAAGGAGAATTATTGTGTTCCAAAGTCTCAACCAATCAAATTCCATTGCTCTGCTTACCCTCTGCAGAAAATGTTCATTATCGAACTTAGTCAAGATATTGATGTAATAAAGCTATATACACCAAGTGTCCTCACTTTCACTTAATTAATTAGAACTAATGTTATCGTGTCCCACAGCATCAACCAATCAAATTGCTTATCTCTGCTTACCCTTAGCAGAAAATTATCATCTTCGAACTCCATCAAGGCATTCACCTAATAGACACCTACGCCAAGTGTGAACATTCTAACTCAATTCGAATGAGAGTTAGTGTGTTCCAAACTCTCGACTAATCAAATTGCTTATCGCTCTGCTTACCCTAAGCAGAAAACTCTCATCTTCGAACTCCATCAAGGCATTCACCTAATAGACACCTGTGCCAAGTGTAAACATTCTAACTCAATTCGAATGAGAGTTATTGTGTTCCAAAGTCTCGATAAATCAAATTGCTTATCGCTCTGCTTACCCTGAGCAGAAAATACTCATTATCGAACTGCGTCAAGGTATTGATGTAATGAAACAAGCCAACAGTGAGGCTGATGTCCCCCGCCGAAATCCAAAAATAAATAGATGACATATATTAATTAATCGCACATTTATTCTTTTTCAAAAGTATAGAGCAATCAAACTATACATCAAGTTTCATCACTCTCTATCAGATAGTTTCAAGATTATCTTGTCCCAAAGCATCGACCAATGAAATTGATTAGCTCTGCTTAGTTTCAGCTCGAAATATTAATCATTGAACTCAGTCAAAACATTCACCTAATTAACATCTACATCAAGTTTAAACATTCTACCTCAATTAAAAGCAGAGTTGTTATATCGCTCCTTAGCCTAAGCCGGAAATTCTCACCGTCGAACTTAGTCAAGATAATGATATAATGAATCTTTATTCCGAGTTTCAGCGCTCTCACTTCATTATAACCAAAGTTGTCGTGCCCCAAGGCATCAACCAATCAGATTGCTTATCTCTACTTACCGCAAGCAGACAATGTTCATCATCGAACTCCATCAAGGCATTCACCTAATGAACGCCTACACCAAGTTTGAACATTCTACCTCATTTAGAAGGAGAATTATTGTGTTCCAAAGTCTCAACCAATCAAATTCCATTGCTCTGCTTACCCTCTGCAGAAAATGTTCATTATCGAACTTAGTCTCGGCCAACCAAATTGCTTATCGTTCTGCTTACCCTGAGCAGAAATTGTCCATTATCGAACTTAGTCGAGGTATTGATGTAATGAAACTATACACCAAGTTTCATCACTCTCACCTAATTAGAACTAAAGTTATCGTGTCCCAAAGCATCAACCAATCAAATTGCTTATCTCTGCTTACCCTAAGCAGAAAATGCTTATCTTCGAACTCATTGACCTAATAAACACCTACACCAAGTTTGAACATTCTAGCTCAATTAGAAAGAGGGTTATTGTGTCCCAAAAAGTGTGACAGACAGACGGACGAACCCATTTTAATAGTCTCCGCTGCTTTCTTCGAAAGGCGCGGGGGACAATAAGATGAAACTAGGATTATAATTGATTATAACGTAAATGAACCAGGAGAGTTCTGGAAAATTCATTTCTTTGATGAAGTTTGTAGTTGAAATATGGATTTTTTGCCCCGCCCTTCCCCAAGATTCAAATGAAAGTATAGCCTATAAATTGTTTGTTAAATTGGAAAGGCATGAATGGATGGATTAGGTTTAATCTTCTACTTTTCTGCTCTAAAGGATAATCAGAGGCGGATCCAAGGGGGGGAGGGGCGTGCGCCCCCCCCCCCTTATTTTCGACAGTTCCCTTTTTTACTACTGAAAGTGCCTTTTCTCAGACCCAAATATGTCCGTTCCCAACCTGTTGCGGGGATCCCAAATGACTCAAACCATCGACTCATACACACCAGTCTGGTCTAATTAATGCTTCCACTTTCAAACGAATTCTTGTGGTTTTATATAGCTGACGGTGCCCTAATCCTATAGAGTGTTCATGTGTGCACAGTACAAGTTACAAGGCTTAAATAGTGAAGTGGCTTGGGAATAGATTCGTCTTTTTTCCCATCATAATGCCTCGCTCGCCATGACAATTTTCGAGTCGCATGTTCAACAGGCTTTTTTGCTCGGTTTTAAGGCTTTCCGAACGTTTACTTAGACGAAAATATCAGCCAAATAGCTCTTAAAATGGCTGCAGATGCAAGGAAATGACGGATAATTTTCTTTTGGGGAGCCCCCCCCCCCCTTAAACAAAAAAACCCTCTCAGCGGCGTGCCCCGTCTCCGCGGTCAGTGCCCTCATTTTGCGGCGCCCCCCCTTTTCAAAAATCCTAGATCCGCCCCTGATAATGATGCCACCTGCTGTATGGGTGGCTACGAGGGACATTTTGCCCGGACAACAATTTAATTCCAACTTTCAAGGGCACATCGAGGGACCTTAATCTAATCGTACCACCCGACTGACTAGACCTAGACGTTGTCCCTTGCCAGGTCCACCGTCCAGCACTACTGACAGGATGAATCATATAAAGAGAAAGCCAAAATAATAAAATCAACCAGAGATTTACACAGTTTAGTCCGGGGAACAACTAATTCCATGCCAAAATAAGAAGTACCCACGGCCACTGAGTGATGTTACAAACATTCCATGATGTTCCCATATGAATTTTCTGCACCAAGAATCCACATTGAACGGCCCAAACCTCACTTGTGAACTCAATTTGTGGCAAAACGACCCGGAAACTATCAAAGAGTTACGGTTCTTGATCGTGACGAAGGCATCAACCGGAAGTTACACTTCGCCACGTTTCCTGAAACACAAAGTAGAAATTTAGATAATTTGGATTTTCTTGGCCATTATTACAACATTTATCAACATATTTTACATTAGTTGAGAGATAGTTACATATTAAACAACCAGCTAAGTTGGCTGAATTGTATCTAGGTGTACTGCGACGATGGTAAGTTTAAAAAAACATCACAAATATTGCCAATTTTTTGTGTTAACCGGTTGACGTTTATTTTCTTCGTTACTTCAAAATGTTTACTTACACCAATTCAACATTAAAGTAGCTAAGGCTATAAGTCAATATGATCCAAAGCCTTACATGTTGAAAACACAAATTGGCGCAGTATGTTGATCCGGCTACTTAGGTTTAGGGTTAGTAGTGGAAGTCAAAAGTAGCCGGGTCAACGTACCAGGCCCACAAACAAATTATTTGTCAATTCAAATCAACATTGACATACATTGATGTTGTAATCTTACCGGAAAAAGGTAGGCTTCTAATATTCAATATTTAAGACAAAATACACATTTTACTACCTTTCGTGTACCATAGTGCGTTTCAGCGTCATTGTGTGCAATGGGAGGCAACTCGTCATTGCGCTTAATTAATTCGACGCTCTTCGGTTTCTGAGTTACTTTATTCGCCGCAAGCACACTCCCGGCTTTTCCCGCCCGCTAAAAACGAAATTTTTCTTCTCTATTAAGAGTTTAAGATTGGAAATAATTACTAGTTAAAGCAATTAAGTGAAATGGCAACGCATCGAAAAAGGCTCTTGCCGGGAAGACTGGAGATTTTATTGTGGGTGACATGCAGGAAAGTGTCACTTCTACCCCTTCAAACATTTCTGCCGGTAGCGGTTGAAACGGTGACGCCATATCTTATCTGGAGAGCATGGGCAATAGATTGGTATAACCAGACGCTAGAAATTGGCATTCGGTTGAGACTCATGCCGTATTTCACTGGACATAACTGATTTGAAATTAGAGTCAAAACGGAAACAATTGAATGAAAATCAATTTATATACAATCAGATTACATTATTATATGCGTTGCGACCCATTTGGGTCAATTTATAGGTCCCAAATGTTAGCGATTTAGCTCCTTTAAGCTTAGGGAAGAACTACTATAATTTATTCCATAAATAAGGCGGATATTATCCTATCTTTGTAACACATTTAAAACAACAAAATGTCGGCCTGTAATTATGCAATTTTCGCCAAAAAATTTTAATTTTGTAAGTTCGTTATTATAATTGTTTAATTAAAGGAGCTAAATCGCTAATATTTGGGACTTAAAAATTGACACAAATGGGTCGCAACCCATAGATATATGATAATGTTATATGAATGTGTATAAACTAATTTACATTAATCGTTTCTGTTTTTACTGTATTTTCTAATCAGTAAAGTTATAGGCCTTTTCGGTGAAAAACGCCAGAAGGCTCAATTAAATGGCAATCTCTAGCGCCTGGTTCCAATCTAAACCGATAGTATATCTTGTGCATGCTCTCCAGATAAGAATATGGCGTCATCATTTGACATGACTTGTGGAATATGGTTAGCCTCGTTCTTCGAGCCTCTTGTTAGGTGCTGAAACGCATTACTCGGTACACGATTTGTGTACCAATGGTAAAATGTTTATTTTGTCTTAAATGTTGGATATCAGAAGCTCATCTTTCCCGGTAAGATCACAACATCAATGTTGATTTAAAATGACAAATAGTTTGTGTTTTCAATGTCGAAAACTGTCTGAACATTCCTATTTTTTAAACAAATTTCTTCGAATATGAACACACTATGTAACTTTGGATATTATAAACTTACCTGTGTGTATGAAATCAACTCCGGTTAAATAAAATCCATTGTGCAATTAAATATCCCAACGAATAAAAAAGTTCTCTCTTGAAAAACTTGACGTGTTTGCTTATATTTTCGACTGAGTACGAGACAACACTGCTTTCGTCACATGTTAGGCATAACCAATGAGGCTGTTGCAGGGGTGGTTTAACTTTGACAGACAGTTTGACAACCACGACGTGTTGCAATGAAAACAAAAGATTTATATGGAAACCATTGATGGCCAGTCTACCAAATTTATTCACAATGAAAATATCAATGATTGCATGGATACTCGTAAAAATTAAGTCATATATAAACTAAAACTTTCCTACATCACTACATTACATGTATTTTTATATTATAGATATTTTAACAAACAACATGGGTACAATTTTAAAGCCCATTAAATGAATGTCATTATTTTTATGCTGCAATGGCGCATTTGTGTTCAAAAGAAAATTCTCCCATCCAACTAATCAAATAATTAAAACCAAATATTTCAAAAGAAAATCTATAAAGAGGGATTTTACTAGAAGGTAAAAAGATGGTAACAAAATAAAGAGATACAGGCAGTTATATGTGTGAACGCCCAAACTCAAAACCGAGCTGAGACTGATAGCTTATGCCTTGAATTGTCATAAAATCATAAATGTACCGAAAACCGTTTCGATGTGGCATGCTGTCACCCCTTTATACTAAATGATCGGGCTCCATTTTGGTATTGCCTGAATGTTGAATGTAATTATTCTGTTTCAGTCACGTAAAAGACATAAGCTTATCCAATTAATCTTTTAAAAGATTCTTTTAAGAACAGCAAAAGGTCAATCAACACTCAATACAGAGCTACCTTTTTAGTAAAACCTATATGAACTAATGTTCACCGTGATCGGTTAATCAAGCGTGTGTACTATTGGATAAAACAAAAACAACTTATGAGTAAAAAAAACTGATTTATTCCATACGATTAACATGTGTACGAGTCAACTATTTGTTGTGGACGACATAACCAATTTTCTGTGAACAAGTCAACCAATGGTTATGGATGAGTAAACTAGCTTCCATATAACAGCATCGACAATTGAATAATTACAGATGATTCTTTTAATTTATGATATTTTATGTTTCAGGTTTCTGTATTGAATACAATTGACACTGCCCATGAGGACATGGTGGTACGTACCTCTCTGTACATGTACTTAATACTTTTTATACGCCCACATTTTCATGTGGACATATATTGTCGTCGCTCCTGTCTGTCACAATTCTTATCTGATTTTGACAAAATTTGAAATATAGGTTTATCTCCAAAAGATCTCGGTTGCTTTCGATATTGGCATGTATTGGACCAAGACTTCATGGATTATGGCCCCTGATTGTACGAAAAATTACGTTTTTAGCTTGTGGACCCATTAGAGGTCACAATTTTCTTCTGATTTTGATGAAACCTGAAATGTAAGTTTATAACCCAAAGATATCGGTTCCTTTCGATATTTGTGCATATCGGATCGTAACTTCCTGAATTAACGCATATCGGACCGTAACTTCCTGAATTATGGCACCTGATTGTTTGAAAAATCACATTTTTAGCTTGCGGATTCTCTAGAATTTTTTTTCCAATTTTAAAAACTGTTAAATATTTCCCCATTCAACCGTAATGAAGGTTGAATTCGAATTTCTGGAAAATCGAAATAAACTGCCTGACAAAATGGCCGCTCTTTCTACACAAATTGTGTAAAAGTATGCAATACGAAGGTTGTGGACCCTCTAGATGTCACAATTTTTTTCCAATTCTGATGAAACTTAAAACATAACTTTATATCCCAAAGATCTCAGTCCCTTTTGATATTTGCGCTTTTCAGACCATAACTTTCTGGATTATTGCCCCTGATTGTACAAAAAATCATTTTTGTTTTTAGTTTGTTCTCTATCCATCTCTTGCAAAATGTGGGCATATCCTGCCTGGCAGCCGCTGGTTATATAAACCAGGGCCCTTATTCACGAAAACTTAAACTAAGTTATAACCAAAATTTTAAGAAATACTGCAACTTCATTGGATATATGCAAATTGATTTTACTGGTCAGCCAATCGAATTGCAGTATTTCTTAAAATTTCGATTGTATCTTAGTTTAAGTTTTCGTGAATAAGGGCCCAGAAGTTTAGCCCTATTCATTTTATTTTGAGCAAAAAATTTGGTTTTTCAAAAAACAGATACATAGATAGAAATTTTGGATAATTACTGTATTACTAAAAGTGGAGTTTTGATTGAAGTTACTTTCCATGATAATTTCAAAATGCAGGCATGTGGTAAATTATAACGAAGCTGTATGTAGAATAAATGTTTTGCTTTGTAGGTACATGTAACAGAATGTCTATATAATATATTTTTTTTTACGTATGTAATATTAATATGTTTTATTTTCAGCATGATGCTCAGTTAGATTATTATGGTACAAAATTAGCCACCTGTTCATCAGATAGATCAATCAAAGTTTTTGATGTGAGAAATGGACAACAAACATTAATATCAGATCTCACAGGGTAGGATATTCTCATCACATTTTTTATATATGCTATTGATAGATTTTGTCCTACAGAATATATCTCTTGTAGAGCAATAGGTTGGATTTACTTCCTTTGTGATTTGATTAGGTAGATATAGATAAAAAATTTCAGATCTCTATTCTAGAGAGCAAGGAAATATAGATCTATTTATAATTTTCAGACATGAAGGACCAGTATGGCAGTTAGCCTGGGCACATCCTATGTTTGGTAGCACACTGGCATCATGTGGTTATGATAGAAAAGTTATTATTTGGAAAGAGACTAATGGTACCTGGGCTAAACTTTATGAATATTCGAATCACGATTCTTCAGGTATGTACATATGTAAACAGCCCTTCAAATATTTTTGTACACCTACGTTTAATATGGACATATATTATCATCAGTTTAATCTTTCAACAGTTTCCTGTGAAAACTGTATGGGTTGCAGGGATTATTCAATTTTAAAGATTTGGAGAGATTGTTTTCAGAGGCATGATGGGGAACCTTTTTGATATTCAGAATAATTTGAAAGAATCACATTGAATTTGAGAATTAGGATGTTAATTTTGCTATGGGTCTCATGTTATTTATTTTCCTGAAATTTAATTAATTTCAAATTTTGTTTATTTTCAGTAAATTCAGTAGCTTTTGCACCTCATGAATTTGGTTTATTGTTAGCATGTGGTAGTTCAGATGGAACAATCTCTATTTTATCAAGTACAGGTAAATATTTGTTGTTTTTTTTTCCACGAGTTATCTTTGAGAGAAAGATATTAGTTGATGCAGTATCAGTAGTTGTTAAAGATGTATTTCCCATTGTAAATTAATACATGTACATGATGAATTGATTGCCTAGATATACATGTATAATGTACTAATCCGATGGGGGTTTATTTTTACTTATAGGTGATGGCACCTGGGATTCTAAAAAAATTAATAATGCACATTCTGTAAGTAAAGATTATATATTTTAATTAGTTTTAATAAAATTTAGTATTAATCTTGGAATGATTACTGTTTCGATTCAGACTTTCATGTATATTGCCATTCATGAAATGTGTGCTTACTCTATCTGTTGATTGTTTTTAGATTTTGTAGATTGGATTGTTGATTATTTTTAGGTATTTGTAGATTGGTTTGTTGATTATTTTTTGTATTTGTAGATTGGATGTAATGCTGTAAGTTGGGCTCCAGCTGTTACACCTAATGCTTTATTTGATACAGGAAATAGACCACCTACAGTCAAACGTATCGTATCAGGTGGCTGCGATAATCTTGTCAAAATATGGAGGTAAATGTTAATTTTGTATAACTGATTTCCTCAATGCCCCAACTGTCAAAAAAAAAAAATGTTCATTTGTCAGTAGGCATTTCCATGGGCCATGGTGAAATACTCTGGGCTAAAATGGGCCTGAAAGAATATGATATTCATGTTAGTTGTTACAGAACTCTTGACAGTTTGAATTTGATAAGACTGCTGATATGGCAACATTTTCTCACATACACTAGTATGTTAACTCTCATAATGGCCGTAGTTTTTATGTTGAAGAAGTGTTAAACACCCATTCTATTCCCAACTGACCACATATTCAATTTCACTTTAAATTTATACATGACATTATATCATACGCCTTTTAATTACTTGTGCCTGTAATTTTCTAATGTAATGTTTCTGTCAAGGGTGTACTATTCATCTCGTTCATTGTTTAAATTGATCTATTTTTTATTTGACTTTAGAGAAGAAGATGGTCAATGGATAGAAGAACAGAAACTAGAAGGTCACAGTGATTGGGTGCGTGATGTAGCTTGGGCTCCATCTATAGGTTTACCAAAAAGTATAATAGCTACTTGTTCTCAGGTTAGTAGAATTAAATGGTCATAGTTTTTCTCTGTTTAGAGACATACAGACTTTGTAATTAATACATTTGAATTTTTCCGCACACTTATAATGTTTTGATCCCTACTTCATTTCACAAAAATGGTTACTTGTAAAGGTTTTTTCCTTCAATGTGCCTACATTTATATTTCTTGCAGCACCTAGTATGATACAGTGTTTGGGAAATTCCCCCTTTTCTTTAGTTGCTTCTCTTACTTTTAGTTTGTTTTTTATTTTGAGTGAAGTCTGGATCACAGCGCAGTGGCTAGCCCCCGGATCCATTCCCTTGATCTGATTTAAGCAAATGGTTTGCGCATGCGTGCTGTATCATAAGGGTTATCTTTGAGTCAACTGGTGTGGTTTTGATTGCCCGGTTGTATGTGACAAGGAGTAACCTCGTGGGTTTTCTCTGGGTCTGCCGGTTTCCTGCCACTGCTAAAGACCCCTACACGCAAGCGAATTATTGAAATAAAATTGAACTATATGTTAGTCCCGAAATGACCTAGTTTGTGTCGAGTGGATGTTAAACCTCATTTATCTCTCCTAGGATGCTAATGTCATCATCTGATAAAGATTTTATCATGTTAATGAGTCCGAAAAAGAAATTTTAAATGTCCTGCATTGTCATGTATTTCTCTTCATAATAATAGAAATGTAATTATATATGGTATGTGATTAAATTGCAGGATTGTCGAGTTATAATATGGACCAATGATGGAACTAGTAATACCTGGTCATCAAAAGTTTTACAGAAATTTAATGATGTTGTGTGGCATGTTAGTTGGAGCATCACAGGAAATATACTGGCTGTATCAGGGGGGGATAACAAGGTCAGTCCTGAAAGACATTTGTACACCAGTAACAGACCCATACATTTCCTTAATCTGGTAGTAGTACATCGGTCATTAGAAGTATAACATACATGCAGTGATGGGATTTTGCCTGTATATTCCGGACTTGTCCGAATCTTTTTTCCAAACGCCCAAAATTGTCCGACTGGGAATATGCCCAATCGGACATCAAGACACGGTGAATAATATTCAAAATTCCGAAACTAATATAGTTTACTGAGTGTATAACTACCACTCAACCAGATTATCGTCGATAATACGCTGGATTGATTAGGTAATTAAGTGATCGACGTATTTATCGTGTTATACGGTCTATAACCCTACCTTGATTAACTACTTAATCTGCCTTGATTGACTGACTTAATCCTTTATCGGACAATTCATCAATCTAATCTTAAACGGAAGCCATTGTTTGCCCTTTGTCGGACTATTCATCAATCCATTATAATTTTAATCTTCGTTTGTTAACCTCGTGGTTTCTGCATTGACGGACATTTTAATCGCATTGATGTGAGCCGACAATATGTATAAACTAGTCATAGAAGTCACATATTGTAAGAGTATATAACGCCCAGATCAATAGACAGTCATTATAATTCGTCTGCTATATCACTTCGGTGGAAGCGAGCATTAAATAAAGCTATTTCACACACACATATATCCGAAAAATATTAGACATTTCTAGCACGCTTTTACAGCACTCGGGAAACCTCGGCAGATTCCGTTACTCTACATCTAGCTTCGGCTGCATGACGGTAAGTGATATGTACCTACGAACTTGCCGGTTTTAGAAAGAAGTTATCAAAATTGCGTCGTTCAAAGCGTATTTAGAATTTTCAGAGTTGTCCTTGTTTGAAGAAAATCTGATTAGGTACATATCACTTACCGTCATACAGCGGGGCTGTTTGTAGAGTAACGGAATCTGCCGAGGTTTGCCGAGTGCTATACCGGTATTAGAAATCTCGCGAGACGTGTGAAATTATGAAATGAATACATGACTAAATTCACGCTTCTAATGTCGAAGAAAAGGTTTTATTTTGATGGCATATTCTCGGATTTACGATCATATTTTGAATGGGGTTTATGTTTTTAAATAAAGAAATAAGTAACCTAGGCAATGTTGACGAATATGTCGATTGAAATAGTGTAAGTACTTAATTGTTTTAGACGATAGCGCGTGCTAGCGATTATTTAGCGGATGGTGTCATTCCTCGGGATATCATATTCTTACCCTCTGTACATAAGTCGTAACGGAGTTTAAGACGAATGCCGGACTTCTGCTGAAAAATGTAGCGACTTATGATCCGAAAATACTGTAATTTTGGAAGAATTTGAAACAGTACAGATCGGCACGCTTTCATTCTATCGTATTACGAATTTTGTAGGAATATTACTGACATAAATTTGAATACCGTACGGGAATTAGATATGAAAAATAACGAGGTGCACCTATTTTACATTACGGACGAATTTGAATATTTTGTTTACATGTGATTTTTGTGTGTGGTCTAAAAACTGCCATTTTAAATAACGATAAGAGTTATGTCCCTTTATTTTCGGTAAAAATGTCCAACAAGAAAAATTTTGAAATCCCATCACTGCATACATGTATATCATTTTCGTCTAGAAACGAGTCAGTCTTTCGTGGAGTATTTAAAACCACAAGCACTGGTAACATAGAAAATCACTTTCAAAAATAACATTAAAACTGAGATTAAGTGTAAAGTATATTACGTTTATGTTCTTGAAGAGATTATCAAGGTCAGGCACAAATAACTCATCTGAAACCGATTCTCTGTCAGTAGATACATTTGTATTATAGTTTTATTCTATATGATTTTATACTAATATTATTAAAGCACTTTCGAACATGGTTTCCCCCTTGTCAGTGGTGTAGGGCAGAGGGCCTGCCAAAGACACCTGTCTAGTTGTTCAGATGGGACAAAAAACCAAGGTCCTGTGTATACATTGGCGTGCACATAAAAGATCCCTTGGCAGTTGGAATTTGATATAGGACATAGTGCTGCTGCCCGGGCAAAATTTCCCGCATAGCACCCTATGGCGTATGCCCATCTTCATTAGCTCAGTAGGAGCAGAATTTCATTTACTTTAGAGCACTTTATCATAGGTTCTGTTCTGTATTTTTCCTGTTAAGAAGAAAGTCATATTCTCTGATTCTCGTTAAAAACTTCAGATGACCAATTTCTTCATATTTTTTTCAAGGTGAGCTTATGGAAGGAATCAACTGAAGGCCAGTGGGTCTGTATAAGTGATGTCAATAAAGGTCAAGGACAGATTTCTGAAGGACAAAGAACACTACAATGAAATTGTTAGATGTATAAATCGTAAATTCATAACATCATCTATAGATTTATAAGATAAAATCTTGTATTGAGAAAAGCCATATATTTCAATTTCAGTCTCCTTAAAAACTTGATCATTCAAGCAAAAACAGTTAGTTACTATACAACAATTTATTGCCATTGTATGGGGATGGGGGCGGGGAAGAGATCTCATTTTATTTACAAGTAATTTGATGGAATACTAGGTTGAGTTGCTTGCAATTAAGCAGCAAGGTGTAGTTTTATGATAAGAGAGACCTATTTGTTTTGTAATGTTTCAGATTGTACAAAATTGTAAAGCAATGAATTAAGGGGAAAGATTGAATTTGATTGTATTTGTAGAAATGTGAAAAAAAATACAGTTTATTTATAATTACCATATTCAATGTCATAGCTGCCCAGGCCTTACAAAAATTTTCAAAATATTTTGATAGGTTTTGGTGAAACATTCAAAATATTTGATATGTTTTTGTCAAACACTCAAAAGAAGTGTTCAATTTTAATAGACCTCATTGAACATTTTCCACAATAACTTGTTCAGAAACTGAGCATCAAAATCATTTCATGATTGCAGCAACTAATGAACTTCAAACTTTAAGTTCTAAGTACTGTTAGGTGAAAACAGAGGGTTGCTTATTTTAGTTCAAAGAAAAGATTTAAGTTGGGCATTTTATTACATTGAATATAGTAAATAGAGATTTTGAGTTTACAGTGAAATACTAGTTATTTGTTATGTTAAGTGTCAATTCATTTAGATACAATATATATCTCCTGTAAATAGAAAATGGTAAAAAGTAATTCTTTATTCAGTGATTGTATGAATCTAATATAATCCATCTAATATTCTTTAAATAAAATCTTTTTTGATCTAAATAATCTCAAGCATGGAGTCAGATATTTCAAAATGCAACAGAATTAAGATAGAAGTATAATTTTTACACCAACTTATTAATTATATTATGGTTTGCTATTTCTTCTCTGCCTATTAAAAGTTATAGTGGTAATCAACTTGACTTTATTGTTATACTATCTTTTAACAGTTCATGTATTTCTATCGACTTTCAAATATTATTCTTGTAAATTATCATAAATGTTTATGTATATAAAACTAAATAAATATTACTACTAAATACTCCGGCATTGCTTTCATTGTCATTTATTATTATCAGTGAAGTTTTTTTTTATAAGCTACAAGAATATGTTATGTTAAAATGGCCTTTATGGAAATCTTTCTTAGAAAAGTGTGATGTACAGATTTATAGAAGGTTTAAAAGTTCCAGTTTACTAAATATTAAATTCTGATAACTGTATGCCACCTTTACATTAAATAATCTGGTCAGTTTGAAAATATATTTTATTACATGTAAGTTAAAAGACATTTAGCTTTCTCTTAATTCGAATCTGACCAAGAATTCTTTACTGTTTTTTCCATGTTCCTGGTTTCATTTTTCAAGATTTACGTTGATCTTTGCATTACAGACCCTGTAAGTCCTCAGTCATTGCAGAAAAATAGGGTGTTAAACCCCATTTCAATACTAATAATCAGTTAATATGGTAGAAACTGATCTTGTTTCACGTTCATGTATCTGGTTAAGGAATCCTGTTAACTAACAATCAGTTAACATGGTAGAAACTGAACTTGTTTCACTTTCCTGTATTTGGGTAAGGAATCTTGTTATGAACTTTTCTGTTTTTTTCTTATTTCCTAAAATAAATTAGTATGGGGTTTAAGTTAAACCATTTAATGTCCTACTTCCCCTCACCAACTGAGCTTATGAAGGGGAATTTTGTCCAGACAGTCTCACTACAGCCTACTTTTATTTCAAATGGTTCTTTCAAACATGCATGCCAACGTGTACACGGGTGCTTGGTTTTCCCTCCCATCCGAAGCCGAACTGCTAGTTATTGTCCTTGCCAGGACCTCTGTCCTGCGGCACTGAAATGTGGAAACCATGCTGGAAAATCCTAGAGGAAAAATAACCCATATATGTATGTTTACGAAAATCAGACCATCATGGATAAACAAAAATATACTGGGAAGTCGACAGATATTTCAGAACTTGAATAATTGAGTACAATCATAATTTATTGAAATTTATTTTAACAACAGTTTAAATAATTCTATCTTACCTCCTGAATCTCTAGAGGAAATTCATTTATATTAGAATAAACACATTCCATACAAAATCTCTTAGTATAAAACAGACTACACTCCTGGAGAATAAAAAAGATTGGTTAACAAGCAACGAGACATACACAACGTTTGTAGTATTCTGAATCAAAGGCAAATAAAAAGGAATATCTGCATCTTGTATAATATAAATAATGCGATGACAAGATTCTATGATATACCGGTAAACAAGGGCACTGACTTGACAAACTTCCGAAATTATTGTTATTCATCCCAATAAATGAAACAAAGAGCATAAATTTAAAGTTGATCAGCAAATGATCACAAAATTCTAAAACTGTCTGGTTTCACTAGTGTGAACAATGCCTACAAATTTCTAATAAATCATGCGAGAGTCATAAATATAGAAATAATTGAAATTCAGTGGATGTCTTCATTTCACTAATCTAAACAAGGCTGTCACCGAAGCATTCACAGTATTGTGTGCATGGGCTTTAACTCCAGAAGCAGCAAATGCAAATTGTTGAAATTCAAATGTCTTTGCCTGGGCTAATCAGAATAAATGAAATGTGGTTTAACATACTAATTTTCAGTCCCATCAGGGCTGATGAAGACATGCAGTATGCTATAAAGCAAATTTTGCTTGGACTGTGTGTATCACTATTATAGTGATAACAGATATCAGTTTAGTAAATTTATCATTTATTTACACCAAGAGCAAAATATAAAACAGCTACATAAATACAACAGAAACTAAACTACACCAGGAACATAAACAATAACATCAACAACGGTACATTAATATAGTACCGGTATATGACTATATTTCATCCATTCCACCCTTCTGTCTGGCAGTGGCTGAACTCAGATGAGCCCATTCGCCGGTCTCTGCTCGTCTCTTTTCCCTGCTCCTTTCTCGTCTGCAGCATCACTTCTCTCCTGTCAGTAAACTGGTGGTTATATACCTTTCAACTGGGTCTACACACATGAGATCATTACTACATGTATATATGACATTTACAAGTTATCTTAATTTCGCTGACTGATATAAATATATACATGTGGAGTTGATAGTCTTTAATTAGTGCGTAGGTGTTTAGATCAAAGTGTATAGTTGAAAAGCCGATATCATATATTATCAAAACCAGCTGGGGTCAATAAGTTCACTGCATCTAAATAATAGTACATATTTTATAAAATAGAAAATTAAGCACTTTGTCACATGTAGCGTTTCTGACTACTAGTTGGCAGGTTCCAATTGTCAATGGTTTTTTTTACGTACAAGCCTTGGTTTTGTGTCCCATCTAAATGACTAGTCGCTGTTTCCTGGTCAGGCCCTTGAGAAGTTTCTCGACCAGCCACTTGAGGGAACTTTCTTGGCCAACATTGAACCTGAGATCCCTGGTTAGTGAACCACCATTGCTCACTAATCTGAATGTGTATAAATTTAAATTTCAAATAATCCAAATGAAATATACTAAACAGCAAAAAAACCATCAGTACGATTTCAAAATCAGAGAGACACTTTAATCAAATCGTTCTAGAAAACAACTTACTAAATGGATCAAAGCAATTTTTTGTGAACAGTATGTTGACACATTAGTGATTAATTCATCACAATTCCAAGACATTACGAGAAGGTTTAAGAGTCTGTACACAGTTTATACATCAGTATCTGGTGTGGCCACCGAGAGTGTCAATAACAGCAGCTCAGCGTCTGTACATGGAGTGGACCAGACGATTGATGAACGCCATTAGCACCAGGAACCACACTCTCAGAAAAGCCTGCGCAATCCATTGGCTGTGTTTGGTCTCGGTACAACGCTGGCCATGTTGACGCCATATTCTGGTGCTGCCATCTGCAGTTGATATGCATTACCGACTCTCATCTGTGAACAGAACAGTTCTCCATTGCCTGTGCCAGTTCTGGTGTTGTTGGGCAAACTGTAGACGTTCACGTCCATGGCGAGGGATGAGGATAGCTCCAAGGTAAGGTCTACGGCAATAGATGTTCTCTCTGGTGAGACATTGGTGCACTGTAGCCTTACTGATGGGTCTTCCGTGTGTTCCCACTGTCTGACGTGCGGTCTTTAGATGCCTGTGTGAAGGGATTCTGCATGTGCTGTCGCACAACATGGCACCCGAAAGCGTTGCTGAAGCCTGTAGATGGTCCGAACACTGACCTGGAAGTGATTGGCAGCGGCTTGGGCAGTGTGGCCAGTGTCGAGTCTTCCAAGCGCCTGGTTCCTCTGAGCTGTTGTGAGTCGTGGCATGCTGCTGATGTTGTAGTGTGAATAATTCAATCAGGTATGGGGGAGCATTTTATAGGCCTGGTCCCGGTGAACAGCATGTGAGCATGAGTTACATGAAAATCATGGAGAACACATTACCATCTCAGAAGTCGGATTGCGTTTTTGAGAACATTTCCTGGGTTCAATTCTGTGTTTGGGAAGGAGTCTTATTGCTCAGGTAAAGTTGGAGATGTGGTCACAAATATACAATAAAAACATTTGGCAAGTTTTATGCAATGCGTCTATTCAGAATAGCATACCAATCTGACGTTTCTTTTGCTGCTTAGTATAGATAAGTAGATATTTTTTTTTATATTAAGAAATGTAAATAATATTTGGGCTTACCCCTGTTAAACAAACACATTTCTTACATATACTACAATGTGCTCCAAGTATAATCAGGCCTGCATCTGATGTAAATGGATCTTTCATTAGATAGGCTTCTTCTAATAATCTGAAATAAAAATCAAAAAAAGAAATTTGATGAGTCTTTAATTTCATTTTGATGTGCTATAAAGGGAAGCTCTCACCAATATATGGGAAATGGGCTACAGCATGTACAACATACATCACTGATTTAACATTATAATGGAGAAATTAATGGTGGTCTGCATCCATATGCTATTTGGAGTTGTTGCCCTTATACCAAAAACTGAAAAAAATATGTCAAGTTTTCAATACCCAGTCGCAATGTGCAGTTACACTTGACCCGAAGCATAAACAATCGAATGGTGAGAGTTAATTATATAGACTCGCGTAATATTCATCAGCACTTTATATCATTGTGAATAATATATAGGTTTACATACAAAAGAGATTTAACAAAAGATGGTTTGGATCCATAATACTCATAATTCGCTTTGAATTTACAAATGTCACACGAAAACTGTTTCGGGATTTCCTCCTCCATGATACTTTTGTAGACATAGTTGTCAGGCCGCATCCGTACTTGCCAAATAGATTACTTTACGACTTGACATCCAAACCTACGCATTTCGCGCGTTTTATTGAACACGTGTCGTATTATGAATTTGGGTTTGAAAATTAAATCATACCTATCGGTATTTTGTTCTTTTGTTGCTTTTTTTATAATTAAATTCAAATGAATATATCACGGCAATAAACTATGATCATTCATGACATAAATCGTCTAAAAAGTAAGAAAAGAGAAATCATAATATGGACTGTAATAAGGTCCATGATTATATAATATAATCGGCTAGATTACTAGCCTAAAACAGGTACCCTATTATATTGTAAAATGTGTAAGTTGAGATTACAATCTACAGATTATAACAAAGCCAACATGATTGGTAACAAATCCCCTTTGACACACCCATATTTCAAAAATTTCTACCACGTCACAGAGTAGCCTAGGGAGCCACGGTGGCTCAGCACGTAAGATGTTGGCTCGCTAACCTGGAGGTCGTATATGTTTGATCCCCACATTGGCCGGGAAAGTTCATCAGGATTTTCCGGTGTGGTTTCCCCTTGTCAGTGGTGCAGAACAGAGGACCTGGCATCGGACAATGTTGCCTATAGTTCATCAGATAGGATGGAAAACCAAGGTCCCGATCAAGAACACATTGATGTGTAGGCCTACGTAAAAGATCCATTGGCAGTTGGAATTTGACATAAGAGTAGGCCTAGGCTGTAGTGCAGCTGTCCGGGCAAAATTTCCCTCATATGACACTTTATGGCGTATGCCCGTCTTCATTAGCCCAATCGGAGCAGAACAGTAGGGTGTAACTTAAACCCCATTTTCATTTCTGTCACTGTAGGCCTTGTTCCACAGATTATTATCTTTATAATTTTTCATTATTTTTACTGACACTGCACACAACAGTGTGGCAAAGCTCAATTTTATAAATGTATATACAGGGTCAATTCAAGTCCCAGGTTATACTTGTGTTAAGGTTGTGTTGTAGTGGTGTATACTAGTGTTCTTTTTAGTGCCTTAACCTGAGCCCACCTCGATTTAGCACTATAGTGTTTACACCAGTGTCTAAACTAGTTTAATACCAGTGTTAAAGATGGGTTCCCAGAAAAGTATTTATTGGATAGTTATTTCCAATAAAAGTATGGCAATTTTGGTATATATGGAAAGTAGAGATATCCAATCTTACTAGAAAAATACTGGATTCGCCGTAAAACACTTTATGGAGCGTATACAGGACAAAAATGTAAAGGTTCCCCTAATCGACAGCCCGATAATTAGGAATTTCTGCACGCGTGATGTCAAAGGTCACACGTGAACATTGAGCGCTTGATGTACAAGTTGATAAACTTTATGAAGAGTTAGTCGTACAACACTTTCTAAATAAAAATGACGGAAAAAGACGTGGGTAGTGAATAATCCGAGAATTTAATTAAGATTTGATGTTTGTAATAAATAGTAAGCGATTAAAGACAACATCGTCTTATGTATGCAATGAATTCTCCTCTGACTTCCAAGAGAGGTAAGTCACGTGACGTTAACATGACCTGGTTTGATCAAATTTTTATAGCAGGGCATTCCTTCACAATTACAATGTTTGAGAAGGATTTGAAGCAAAATTATGACAAATTAATTAGTTTGAATATGTTTTTAGTCCATATATATATATACCATTAAATCATCCAGTTTGTACGCGGGAATGTATCTTTAACACAGGTGGAAAATAAAACAAAACCTATAAAACTAGTGTTATTTTTAATGTTACACTTTGTTTTGCTTTCAGTCTGTTCTAACATTTTCAGTTCTTTGCATGAACTGGCCAACTAAAATAAAAACACCAAAAGAAAGGTAATTAAGGAAAACTAACCGCTTCCAGGAAGTTAAGTAAATAGAATCTATGTTGAATTTTTGTAGTCTCATTTGATCATTATTCAGTCGAAATTTCCTATCTGAAATTTCTTGTAAATAAGCAGGTCTGCGATCAGCATTTCTTTGTCTTTCGATGTGGGCCATACATGGGTAAAAAAATCATTTTAATCCTTAAAACTAAATCTAAAAGCCTCAAAAGAAATTCAATTCTTGACTTATGCTGTTTCACACCAGTGTTGTAATAAATGACTTGAACTGAGATATTTTTTTTAACCCCAAGGTGTTAGTGTTAGAGTTATTTTTAACAAGTTATTATTATCTAACATTTTTTTATGTAATTAGAAATAATATTGCACAAAGCTCCTTGTCTTTATATTTTTTCATGTACATTTGTTTCTTAAATCCGGGAAACTGATATTGAAAATATAGACAAACTGAGGGGCTCGAGTATAAGTTAGTGTTTGGGTAACACAGATACGACACTGGTGTTCATAAAAGTAGGCTGTAGTGCCACTGACAAGGCAAAATTTCCCTCATAGCACAGTGTATGGCGTATGCCTGTCTTCATTAGCCGAGTCATTGCAGTACAGTAGGATGTTAAAACTCATTTCATTTCATTCCAAATGACATGTTACATTTACCAGTAGAATGTCAATGTCATATGACTAGTAATCAGGAAGAAAGTACTCAATAATCATGTACAAGTATGTACTGATTTAACCAAGCACAGCCAGGATATAATTATAAGTACACTTGGTATTTATTTTTACTTCTTTAATAAATTAATACTTGTAGGTTTGATATATTGTACCATAGTCTGCAGTGCAATGGGAGCCATATCGGAAACTGATAAAGTGTCAGTATAATTGAGACCTTAAAGGGAACATAAGATGAAAATTTTGAAATACGGGTTGCAGAAATTGAGATTTTTCTTAACAATTACAGAGGGGGTTTGCCGAAACATATTACATCAAAACGTATGCAGAGCAAAGCGAGATGCAAATTATTTAAAGAAAAAGGGTTTTAACAGCCGATGATAGACCTTATACATTCATCACTTCATTCAGAATAAAGTAATTGGACTGAAAATTTCAATATATTCACTTTTCATTATCTTTTTTTGAACTATTATAGCAGGAAGAGCTAGTTCTTTATCTAAATCTTACAGAAATTTAATTGACAATATATTATATAAAATGTTATAAAATCTCAAAGGGAACGGTCAATATTTCCTGTATTATATAAAAGCGTGAAAAGTATAGGCCTATATGTATTTGCATATATTAAGCTTCAAAGCACTAGAATAGAGATTCCGCTCCAGATTCTTTCTTTTCTTATATCTTTACCAGGAATGATAGGTGTTTCCAGTGGAAACTTTCCACGTATGTAAAGATGTAACAAATTACACTTTTTAGTCCCCTCTGCTGTGGATTTTTTCTCAGAAAAATCATAAGAAAAGATTAGAAAAATTTAACTTGCTGCACTTGGCAATAATCTGGTTTGCACCAGCTTGCGTTTCATTGCCTAACAACATATCTATAATTTTTATGTGATCTTTTCCACATATTGTCCTTCAATTTCTGAAAATGACAAGAATGGATATACAGTGTGCTTCATGTGTTAACTAGCTTATAGAAATATAAAGTCCACAATAGCTATGATTTACGATGTATGGAGAACTTAGCCACAAACTGTCTCCATCTTTTTTTTCATAACAGGAACATTAATAGTTGGGGTTAAATTAGTACCGGTAATGAAATTAATCAGATGTTTAGACTATATGAGGTATAATTTGACTTAAAGAAAGTGTCACTCTTAAGTACAGTACTTGTGATATTAAGCATGTTGAAATTAGGAAATGATCAATAGGAAGTGGGTGTTAGATTGAGGAATGGTGAATTCAGTTTTATGGGTAACTTCATAATTTGACTTCTACCCAATACCTTATTTGCATAATAAAATTTAGTTAACGATTAGCCTGTGAGATGTTGACGTTTAGTATTAAGATTGGTTGGATATTTTTCTTGGATTAAAATAGTGGAAATAGTTTAAATGTTCCTAATAGGATTAAAGTTATCAGTAATCGAGAATCACCAGAGTTCCTGTTTGAATAAAAACTCTTGATGAGATTATAGTGTAAAGTGTATATTTCTGGTCCCTTGATAATAATCTTTAGATTAAGCTGCGAAGTCTTTTGTTCCTGTTAGGATTAATTCCACTGATAAGAATTACGACACCACTTCCAACATATATCTGTACCAGTTACAGATAATAGTGCTCCCTTTGATTCCTTTAAGTGATAGGAGAGAAGTCTATGTTCATATTCTATACTGGCATCTAGTAGACCTCCAGTGACATTTTTTTTAATGTGTGTCCAGTAGTTATTTTTTAGCATAGCAGGTCTTTCAATGCTTTGTAGTGATTTTGGGAGCTGTATAGACTGTGTGAAGTGGATTATATATATATATTGCTAAAGGATTGCGTTTTTCCTATAGGAATTGTATAGTGAAAGCATACTTGAGGATATTCTAATAAGTCCACTTCGGAAGTGATTATATTGTTTTTATGTAATTGATCAAATTTAGATTTAAAAATGAAAATGATAAAACAGATTTCAATTGTGATTTTTATCTTTGTGTTAACACAATTTTTATTCTCATCTACAACGAGTTCCATGAACAGAAAATTTTGCAATGGAGTAACCAATGTGACATTTTATACAGCATGTAGAGCATGTATTGCTAATGTAGACATTGACTGTCCAGTTAATACAATTAAGCTAACATCGGACCAGGGATTATCTGATTGTTCTTTACTTTTAACAATCAAACAACAATCAGTACGATTACCAGGTTGTAGACATGAATGTCAAAGAGAAGCTTTAACAATGAAATGTTGTGGTGGTTTTTGGGGAGCAGATTGTGATGGTAACTTGTATTTTAGATATCAGTTTTTAAACGCAGCAGAAATATGCATAAGCTGATCAAAATTTAGAAATGCTCAACAATTTATTGCAGAGTAATTCACTGTGCCCTGTTTTATGTTTTCATTCTTTTTTTGTATGCCAAATTATGAATAGTTTGAAAATTGATCACTGAGTTATTGCCCCTGCAGTTGAATCCCTATAAATTCTCTACAAGCCAAAATTTTGTACATGTATATATTTATATGCAGCCAATTTAATGTTCGTTTGTCCTTCATATTTCTTGTTAGTACATTAGAGGCTACAATAATCATTTTAAAATTGATATGGGGTGTGGTTTGTTTATCTTAATGAAGCAAAGAATCCAATGGACTTTCAACGTTTTTCAATAATCATTTTGAGGGATGCCCCTTTGGTATAAATCATGTTAGAACTTTAAATGAAATGGGGTTTAACGTCCTACTGTTCTTCTCCAAACTAGCCTAGGCATATGAGGAGAAATTATGCCCAGACAGCGGCACTCCGGCCTACTCTTATATCGAATTCCAACTTTCAAGGGATCTTTTACATGCACGCCAATGTGTACACGGGACCTCGGTTTTTCGTATTATCCGAATGACTAGACAGCTGTTCTTATCAGGCCCTCCATCCTGCATCGCTGATAAGGGGGAACCACGTCGGAAAATCTGGATGAACTTTCTCTTCCAATGCAGGAATCAAACACCTGACCTCCAGACTAGCGAGCCAGCACCTTACCCACTTAGCCAGCGAGATCCCCCCGTTAGAACCTTAAAGGCTGCAATTATTAATCTATCTTTCTGAAATTTACATAGTGGTTGTTTATCCTATTGAAAGAAAGAACCCCATTTCAATAATAAAAAGGCCAGTGTTAGTCTCCTTTATTATAAAATCTTGTTAACACTTTAGAGGTTTGAATTATGATCTAATCTTTTTGAAAGTTTTATAAGTTTTGTTGCTGATATAAGTTAGCTGATGGTGGGCCTTTAACGTTTGTTTTGCGTAAATCTCAAACATAAACCACCGTTTGTGTTATTTTATTAACCATATATATGATTATTACTAATTGTTCATGATATGAAAGATAAAGGGTTTGGAGATGAAGTCTACAGACGCTCAACGATTGTTAGATAATTACTTATACCTACAAAAGCGTTGCTCTTCATAAAGCTGAAAAATGATATGGATAGAATTATCATCCGATTATCACAACCTTCACGATGATCGTTTTTCAGTGTCTGGCAACCGATCTTTGATATCTTTAACTGTAAAATCTGTTATATTGTAGAATGTCCTGGTGGTGCTGTCCAGCCATGTAATGGAAGGGGAGTGTGTAGTGATGGGGAAACAGGAACAGGAGAATGTAAATGTCAGGTAAATCTATCATGTACAATATAGTGATTTGTTTATGCTGGATAACTTTAAATTTTCGTGCACACTTTGTTGAAATTAATTCTTTTTCATGAAAGTGATGATATTTTTTTGCAGACTGGACTATAAATATGACTATATTAGGGGTGTATTACATATGCAAAATATAAATAGTCCGAAGTATACTAATGTCCAAAAGAAAGTATACACACTAAAAATATGACTAAGTTTTATTTAGATTAAAAACATTTGATAAAACATTACTGAGTTTGTCTCTTGCATCCAAACTTAAAATTTCTAAGCAAAATAAAAAAGCGAAACAAATTGACATTGTACCCAAATGCTGCATACGATGGAAAACAACCTTGGTTGATGCAGCACAAAATGTGCAGTGTATACTTTCTTTTGGACTTTAGTAAATACTATATATTAACAAACATTCAGCAAAAGGAATGTTTTCTTTTATCAATGTAATGGATCTTGAATTTCTGTACACATCCAGTATAATGTGTGCTTTTATGAACTTTCATTTTATTTCAGGAAAATTTTAGTGGTATATCTTGTGAGATATGTAGTAACGAAACACTATATGGGGAAACCTGTTCTGGAGGTAATATTTGAATCTGGAGACTAAAGGGGGGTAACCCATTTCGAACACAGCTTATACACACACAGTGGTCTTACATACTCCTCTCTATGTTTACTTGTTAGAATTTTGGTTGTATTGAAATAATATCGCTGTTGAATTTATATTGTTATACTTAATTAATTATTGTTTTTTTACAAAGGGAGAATGAAGTTGTAGTGTTATCCCCCTTTAGTGTACAACAGTACTGTTTATGAAGAATATTGCTGTCATCCAAGTCTGTATTTCTTCACATCTGTTGTACACGATTTCTATTTTAATCATGCCACTTTTCTTTGGGTTATATTGTTGTGAACCCTGACTATCCTCAAGTCCGTCTGTTTGTCCACAATTATTCTCAGTATATAACATTTTAGATTTATTTTTTGGGAAAATCTGTTGGGATTGAGTAACTGGCTCTTTTCCCATCCTATAAATTCTCTACGGGTCAGTGTTTTTTTCAGATGGAATTATTGCTTAAATCACAGCCGACTACTTATCTCTGGTCTTGCCCCCCCCTTCTTCCCTTTCATTGACAGCTGGATGACAAAGCTTCTGGTGGTCATATTGTATTGAAATAAAGAACACCTTTTTCAGTATGTGAATGTGTGAATGGAACCTGTAATGGTGGTATCCAAGGTGATGGCTCCTGTCTCTGTTATTCTGGATTCAGTGGTACACTTTGTGATCAAGGTAATGTTATGTTATCTGGTATACAATAAAAATACATGAAATACCCAATTAAAAATGCATTTTGCAAGAGCTAAATCTGCCTATTGCAGTTCTTTCTTTAGGCTTTAAATGTTATCTCAATTATTGATTAGACATTAATTAACTTATTCAGACCATAATCAACTCTCAATGCCATCATTAGCCTGAAATATTTAATGGATTTGAATACATTTTGTGATGGATATTTTAACGCAAAAATGGATAATCGAGATGTTGTGTATTGTGATACCAACATTAGTAATGATGATTGAGGCTAGCCTAAAATTGAATCGCTAATATCTTGGTTCAGAGTGAAGCAATTTAACTGATATTTTCAGCATATTCTGTTTTCATTATCTAATTTTTAACTATTATAGCGAGAACTGTCAGCTCTTTATCTAATGTTACTTAATGCCCCTTTAATTATAAATTATATTTAATTAATTGATTGAGCTGGCATATGCATCGAACACAACTGTATAACAAAAATATCTCAAGTAAAATGGCATTAGGTACCATATTTAATTAACTATCTTAAAGTGTAAGCTTGTATGTGACCAGGAGAAGGGTCACTTGTCCAACTTCATGGATTTTCTCTGGGTCCTCAAGTTTCTTCCTACTGCTAAAGACCCCTACACAAAAAGCTATTACTCAAAGAGAATTTTACCATTTGTTAATTCTGAATGGGCTAGTTTGTGTCGAGTGAATGTTAAACCCAATATCTCTCTCTCTTTCTTTTAAAGTGTAGCTTTCACCCTATAAAATGAAATGCTATGTTTTATTTTCTATTATATCTAGAGTTAGAAGAATGTAATAATTTCACCTGTCAGAACAATTCACGATGTGTAGAAGTAAATAATACAACTACATGTGTTTGCGATCCTGGTTATGAGAAAACAGTTGAAAATAGCACAGTTTGCACAGGTGAGCTCATTCCCTAATAAGGCAGATATTCACCTTTGTGGGCTATGTCATCATATGGGCCATAGCAACCTGCATGGAACTGAGAAAGAAAATGGTTTCATAATTTTGGTTCCCTTCTATCTTAGATCACATAAAAATCAAACAAATCTTCATTTGGTTTAGTTCAGATTCTTTATCAGGACAAACTATAATGGACTGTTGAGATAAATGTAGAGATTTTCTGTAAGACAGAGAAATTATTGTTATATTAATAGCCTTACGTAACTCTGCAATGGACGATTAAGCCTACTTGGACTATTTGAGAAAAATGCTAGTCTCTGACAATTTACTAATTGCTTTAAGACTTACTTGGTTTATTTCCAGCTATCGATGCTTGTTTGTCCAATCCATGTCATGTTAATTCAGAATGCTATCCAACTGGTCCTGCCAAACATGAGTGTTTATGTAAACCAAATTATTCAGGAGATGGCATCAGTTGTTATCCAATTAATCCCTGTCAGGTTAATTATGGAGGGTGTGTCACAAATTCCTCTGTCTGTCAATATAGATCACCAAATAAGGTACTGTTGAATTCCGTGTTACTTAAAAATGCTGATAATTAAAATGAATTTGTTCAATCTCAAGATGCAATGTCTTTTCAACTATTCTCTTTGAATAAATTGTCAAGAAATGCTGTTTTTAAAGTGTAATTTAGTAATATGTTATTTTAATTCTTTCTGACCATATAGTTATTATCTCAGATATGCTTTAGTGAATAAAACTGGTCAATTCAGGTTGAAAGACTTGTTCAAACCTTTATCCTAGTCCTTCACAAGTGCCTATGACTCCTTTTTAAAGAATTGCGGACCCTTTGTTTAGTTAATTCTGGGACTGCTTCTTTGAAGGATATGTGTTGTAAAATACACTCAACAATTAAATCTAGAAACTGTTATTGTATGAAATATTTTGTTCTTGACATTTTATGTAGTAAATTGTGTGTTTTTATTTATATTTAGAGTGTGTGTGTTTGTTTGCTTGGTTATGAAGGATATCAACCTCACTTGGGATGTCGTCTAATTGATGTCTGTATAAATACATCAGTTGTTTGTCATGACAAGGCTAGCTGTAAAACAACAGGACCAGGAAGATATCAGTAAGTACAAACTAAACTTGCTTGAAAAACGTTGAGGGAATACTCTTTGAAATTTTGCCCAATTATATTTGTAATTCTTCTTCCATAAGTATGCGTCCTCTGGTTTCCTCCGATTGCTAATGGACCTATTTTGTTGTCATTCAACTCGTGTTTTAATAGCCGTATTCTAATTGTTTGCTTGCTTAAAAAACATGTTTCGGAAACATTCATCACCTGATATTGGCTGATTTGTCAAAAGGCAGTCAGCATCCACACTAATTCTTGGATTTACGTGTATTGCTTGTAATCACGATATGTTTTGTTGTTGCAGATGTAGTTGTCCGCCTGGTTATGTAGGAGATGGTAAACAATGTTATACAAATATTATTCAGGTAAATGTTAATATTTCTATGGGATCAGAATGATGTTGCACCTATATTCCAAAAATGTATGGGTGGGGGGTGTTTGTATTTACACTGGCCATTACACTTATTATAATTATCAGTTTTATTATTTCGTGGGATGTTATTGATGATTATATCAGTTATTAAATCAGCAGAAACCCAGGGTTTGATAATTATGGTAGGGTCAAATTGAAATAATTTAAATAGCCTAGAGTATAATAATATATATTCATTTTTTTTTACAGACATTAAGTGAATTGAATGAACGAGATGGAATGCTTAAAAACCAGCTACATATATCCTATCGTTTATTGAAAGCTATGTATAACGAGGCGCTGTCAGAACATGGACCATTTACAATATTTGTACCTTTTGATCGTGGCTATAAATCTATTCTAAAGACAATGGAGGTATTTGATATGTTATTTTTCAGTGTTCTTTTTCTGTCCATTTTGCTGTTGAGGCATGTAAAGTGATTATATATATCAAAATTCATTTTTTCTTCGTTATGCACATTTCAGCTAAAACAGACGATTCGGTTCATACTCTTCCTTTAATTTGACTTTAATTGGTAACTCCTAAAACATAGTTGCGTGTGTTATTATGTAGCCCATATTTATATTGTAATGTATTTTTGTAAATCTGTCCCTACACGCGCTATGATTGGCAGAAACTGTACATTGTCTTATACCACATGGTTACGTCACATGATTTTGGGTATATAATACCTTGCCTTGTGCATTCCTGAGCAGAAAGCCGAACACAGACTAGAAAGTAAGAAGATTCTCCTATAGCCTTTTTAGGAGCGTTACAGAAAGCCTGATAAGGAGAGTTGCAGAGAGCCATTTTAGGAGTGTTATAAAGAGCCCTTTTAATTATAGGGAGCCCTTTTAGGAGAGTGACAGAGAGCTCTTTTAGGGTCGTTAAGATTAGATCTCTGAGGAGCCATAATGACCTCTTTTAGGAGTGTTAAGATTAGAGCTCTGAAGGGAGACCGTTGCTAGGAGTGCGATTTGAGAGCGTGAGATGGAGTTGGCCCGTGTATATTTAGAGTATAATAAAGAGAATTGCTGATTAATCTGGTATTAGACTTTCTGAGCCAGCTGCTTGCTTGGCTACTCCCACACCTCTACAGTAGTGAACTCTCAACAGAACTAATGGATAGATTCGGACCCGCTCTATCCAGAGATCCAGTTCACTACACTTGTTATTTTGTTGCTCACATTTATTTATTTTCAACTGTCCTCCTATTTGTCTTTCCAGTATGGTGATTTGATGAATAATGAAGATTTTAGCCGGCAGATTATCCGTCAACATATTATTATTGGACAATTTTCACTGGAGAAATTATCCAACTATTCTCTATTTTATACGATGGAGGGAAATACAGCAGAATTAAATTTTCGATCGGTATGTCAAATATAAAATCTTATTTTGTCTCAGTTAAGGACAAGAAGTCCAACACTTAGGCCATATATATAAAAAAAAAAATATTTTGGTTCTCAGACAGATTTTTGTTTGAAAAATAAAGAATACGAACAGACTCATTAATTACCAAACATATTTATTGTACTTAGTGTACGAATAAAATTTATTAAATAAAGGTTTTACCCTGGTTACAGGAAGGAGCTCTATAAAAAACTGAATGAATCCAGAAATGCAGCATAGGCACATTTATCAAGTACACATCTGTGATAAATGTTACTGACAATCATACTAATACTGGATAATCATACATTCCTATACAGGATGAGATAAATGTAGTGCCTTGAAATGTGATGTTTATTTGAAGTCATTTAGTCCAGTCCAATAAAGATCCTTTAACAAAATAAAAGCCTCCCTCCCGTATCAGATTTTTGGTAAGGATTATCTGAGAACCAGATTATTAATTTTTGTATGGCCTTATATATTTGAGAATAAAAATTAAAATCCCATATGAAAGTGGAACACTGTTTAAACGTTGTTTCATCGTTTCGGTCTACATTTTCTGAGACACTATTGACAAGACATAATCACACACTTTGTTTATATATATATATATTGAAGAATTGACGTTTATAAAAAAAAATTTTTTAACAGAGACAGGAGATATTTAAGTATCGAATACATGGTAATAGTTCAAAGTCAAAGGTGATGAGTGGAGATATTATAGCATCAAATGGAATAATTCACATCACAAATTCTTTATTAACTTTGGTACCAGAAGTAAAAGGCAATTCATCAGTAAGTATACCTTATAAAACTTTAGTGGAACACAGATGATGTTATAGAAATTTTTATGAATTTATATTTAGGGGCACAAACAACATAACACAAATTAATGATAAATAAATCTTTTTTAACATTTTGAGTATATACCGCCAAAGTGGTCATGATCGACATGTATGTCCAAGTTGGAAACTAAGCCCCAAACAGCATTATTTTTGTTGATTAAGTCTGTCTTAATGCATATTGGGGAAATCATATATAACTTATGAGAATATTTTTGTGTGTAATTTTGTTATTACTTGATCTGTATGTAAGATAGTATGTATGTTTTTTCAGAGATCGATGTTAGATTTGATTAGAACAGAAGGCCGCTATAACAGATTTCAAACTCTTATAACAGTAAGTGACATATTTTAAAAGCTTTATTTCTAGTATAATCCCCTGTCTTATAAAATCTATTATTTACTGTAAATATGATGTGTGCTTATTTAGGTTGCAGGAATGGAAGCTATGTTTGAACAAGAGAATATCACTGTGTTTGCACCAGAAAATGGAGCATGGGATTCGCTGCCTAAAGGTTCTGTAGATTATCTCACTTCTGACTTGGTATGTAATAAAACAATAAACCTATTAAATTAATCTCTGTGTGTCAAGACTTCAAGGATGAAATGTTAACAAAACTCTGATTTATGCGTAGTATAAATGATTTGGATCATATGTTAAACTGATGACGGTAAGAAATAAGTAAAACTATGGCATCCACCTTAAGTTTGTTACGATTTCTGGGATGAAAAGTTAATGCGTAGTTTAAATTTATAAAGCTGATTTCGTTAAGAAATAAGTAAAACTATTTGATCCACCTTAATGACAATCCTGTTTGTTGTAACTTTATGTTATTTTCTAGGGAAAGAAACGTTTGAAGATTATTGTTGAAAATCATATTTTTAAAGGAAGGGTAAGAAAGATATTGTTTAATTGAGAGAAGTCACAATTTAAAAAAAAAAATCAAAAACAGGAAAGCCTGTAAGCAAAGTATTTAAAAATAAAACATTTTTATAACCAATTTCCAAATTACGGTCTAAAAAGGGATTTTTATCCTATAATAGTATATGATACTTTTTGGTATTTGTTTTATAGATTTCCGTAGCTGATTTAATAAATAAAAGAGTTTTACAGTCTATGGCTAATAATGCAGTTAATGTGACGATTACTGATATCGTAAGTGTGCCTTTTGTAAATATGATTAATTTGGTGTGTTCATTTATTTTATAAGATGTATATCTTACTACACACATACCTGTCCATAGATGAAGTCAGTATTGATAAGACAAAATGAGATTTAAAGATGCACTGCAAGGGAATGCTGACAAGTTGAGTTCTGTAAGCGTAAACACCCACATATAAGACATGCTTTTTTCCCCTTAGCAGGTCCCCCCCCCCTCCCGAACTAGTTATGCGTGTTATTCAATGCACAAAATATCAATGTCCTTTTTGAAACATGGCCTGTATGACTGATTTCGGAATTGTATTTCACTGTCAGTTTAACATAAGTATGGCCCATACAATGATCAAAGCTACGAGATTATGCTAAATAAAGTTACCATAATTTATAAAAACATTACTCATGCAGTCATAAATCTAAATTCGAAGATCCATTTGATTAATATGAATTTTGAACATGTGTGAGAAAACTCTATTGCACACTGATTTCAAACATTTAGCATACGTTTGAAAACGACTGTTTATTGAGACAGATATCGTTGCAGTTTTTTAAGTTAATAGTTACAATCAACATGCCAGTGATTAATTAACAACTTACGTTTTGTTAGAAACATCAATGAACTGTATTAGAATTTTTTGTTATCAAACATGTTGGAATTGTTTGAATAAAGTAACTGCCCCTTTCCTCAAACCTTGCAAATGCTCTACAAGTCAGAGTTTTTGAGAGATTTTTAAAAAAAACTTTCTAGGATTGTTTGGCTAGTCCTGAGTAGGAATCCTATTGAAATTCAGACTTCTCCATCAATTTAATGGGTGGTCATTGCCCTTGATCCTGAGGGTGGTCGGATGGCTGAATGGTTAGCGTGTGCGCGCTGTATCATAAAGTCTGTCATTGAGTCGACTAGCATGGTTTCGAATCCCCGGTTGTACGTGGCAAGGAGTAGGGTCGCCTGTCCAACCTCATGGGTTTTCTCCGGGTCATCTGGTTTCCTCCCACTACTAAAGACCCCTACGCGCAAGCGAATTATGTGAATAAAATTAAAAACCATATGTTAGTCCCGAAATGACCTAGTTTGTGTCGAGTGGACGTTAAACCCCATTTCTCTCTCTCTCCTTGATCCTGAATTTTTAAAGCCACACTCCAAAATACTTCTAGTGAATGTAATATTCATTGCCTGGTAAATAGTAGGTTTGTTCTGGAATTTTCAGTCTTTAGTAAAAATTAGTGAGCTGGCTCATGACTTTCAGTGAATATTTAATCGTGTAGATATATTTTATGTATGTACTGGATAATCTGTTTGACAACACAGCAATAGGATATATACAAGGTATAAGTATTGCATTCATGCAGCTTACAATTTGCTGGTTATCTCCCATTAATACACATATATCTTTGTTATATTTTCAGGGTCAGATTCGATTAAATAATGCTGTAAATATATCACAGACTGATATTCCCAGCAAAAATGGTATTTATCATCATATAGAGAGTGTTCTGGTTCCTGATAGTATCAGAGATATTATTCCTAAGAGATGTGATATTAAATCCTACCGAGTAGTTAATGTAAGTAGATAAGTAATGCATGTATAAATGTTAACATGAATATTCATGACCTTTGTATATATGAATAGTAATAAGATGTGTGTGTGTGTGCACAGTCATAGATCTAGTTGTCATGGTAAAGCGAGAACATGTGTATTGTAATGGTCTAATGGAAGTGAGAATAAAATACCATTGAATTTAATATAGTGTGGTCAAATAACAGTAGATAGCAACTGCTTTCCAGGTTGTTATTTGAAAAAAATTCCAAATAGCAACTGTGGAAATAGGTTGCTATCTGACTTACACATCAACACAAACTATAAAGATTATCGCTAGGTATTAGTGCACTTGTGAGTATTAGTTATCTAACATCAACTGCTGCTTATACCTTGTGCATGTGAAACACAAAGCACAATTGGAGGTTAATATCAACCCCTAATGACTATACAGAAGGTTATTAAGGGGAATAGTCACCTAAAGCGGGCTATAATAAACACTGAAAAACACTGGAAAACTACCGGAAAACACCATGTTATACTGAATACCGGAAAACACCAGAAAAACACTAAATACCGAAAAACACCCTAAATAGGTAACCCAGAGAAGGGCTATACTATAAACCGGAAACTAACCCTAACCCTAACCCTAACCCTAACCCGGGCACACAAAGGATCAGGCTCTGGGTCACCTGTTTAGGGTGCCAGTCTCCAGGTTACCTATTTAGGGTATTTTCCGGTATTTAGTGTTTTTCCGCTTTTTTTTTCGGTAATCAGTATAACATGGTGTTTTCCAGTAGTTTTCCAGTGTTTTCCGGTTGTTTTCCAGTGTTTTCCAGTATATAATATTGTTGCCTAAAGCTTAAAACGTCATTAGTTGCTGTAGGAGATATAAACTAAAGGTGTATACATGTATATACTATTAAACAGAGAGAGAAATAGTATTTAACATCCATTCAACCAAAACTAGATCATTTTGCGACTGACATAATGGTACATTTTTATTTCAAAAATTCCCTTGCGTTTTGGGTCTTTAACAGTAGGAGGAAACCAGATCACCCAGAAAAACCCCACAAAGTTGGGCAGGCAACCCTAAGCCTTGTCACGTACAAGCTTGAGATTGAATCCATGTTACTTGACTCAATGAAAGAGAGAAAAATGGGGTTTAACGTCTACTCGACACAAACTAGTTCATTTCGGGACTAACATATTGTTCAATTTTATTTCAATAATTCGTTTGTGTAGGGGTCTTTAGCAGTGGGAGGAAACCAGAGTACCCGGAGAAAACCCACGAAGTAGGATAGGAATCGAAACCTTATGATGCAACATGCATGCGCTAACCATTCGGCCATCCACCCCCCAATTTGACTCAATGACAGAATGATCTAAAGCTCAAACATTAGACCACTTGTCCCACCTCCCCCCATTAAACACAGATAATCTGAATTATACAAAAATATCAACACATGACATTAGACAAAAATAGAATCTAAGGCTATGTATATACATGATTTTATTAATCACTCTAGATAATTCTAAATCAATAGCAAAAAAAATTTCCCTTACCAGGTAGTCAAACATAAGTTATGTCTACTAAATTTTATATCCAGAGTCAATTAATCATCAATTAGATAATTCATTCAAATATCCATGAGGATTTTTACACTAAATATTTCAAGCAATATAGAGTTTAAATGAAATGGCCCTAGCTATTTACCTTTCATTATAACCCAGTGGTTCTGTTTTATCCGTATGTGCCCAGCATGTCCACATGGATTGGTTAATATGAAAGGAAATAGAAGCTTAATTATTGACGCTATTTCCTGTCTAGTGATCCTATTCTGGCCACTGTTAACCAAAACTAAAAATGTTCAACAAGCTAAATTTTGAAACAGAAACTCTGGTGTGACCACATCAAATTGGCCACAGGAGCAGCTTCAAAAAGTCTTCACAATTTGACTACATATAATTTCAAAACTTACTAAACTATAAGTAATAGAACAACTTGCATAATACATAAACAAAATCGATGTTGCAAACATCTGATATCTAGAAAGCTTACCTCTCCAGACATTTGGATTCGAACATCCAGATTTACGGTGGGGGGGGGGGGGGTTAGTGAATTAAGCATGCAAGAAATGGCTGGGTAACTGATGTGTTTTAAATCAGTTAAAATGAACTTGAGAAAAAACAGTAATTATTTAGTGCTACAATGTCGATAAACACTTCCTGTTTCGAATTTACAGAGATATGCAAAAGACATGTTTTTAGATTGTCCATTAGAACCTGTGGCTGTAGATTAACATGCTGTGGGTCTAATGAACTCAAGTCATATGTATTGCATAATAATACCCCTTGATTTTTAAACAGGAAGTGTTTATCTCCTATATTCCGTAGCAGACAGTATCACGGGCTATACTATATACCGAAAAACACTGAAAAACAACCGGAAAACACCGGAAAACTACCGGAAAACACCATGTTATACTGAATACTGGAAAACACACCGGAAAAACACACTAAATACCGGAAAACACACTAAATATGTAACCCGGAGAAGGGCTATACTATAAACCGGAAACTAACCCTAATCCTAATCCTAACCCAGGCACACAGAGGACCAGGCTCCGGGTTACCTATTTAGGGTGCCAGTCTCTGGGGTACCTATTTAGGGTTTTTTCCAGTATTTAGTGTGTTTTCCAGTATTTAGTGTTTTTCCGGTGTTTTCTGGTATTCAGTATAAAATGGTGTTTTCCGAAGTTTTTCGGTGTTTTCCGGTAAATAGTATTGCCGCAGTATCACCTGGGTAATAACCAATCAGTTTAATAGAATTCCATGGAATGAATAAAATAGAAGATGTCAAAGAATGAATTCGGTTGACCAGCTTACATGTTTACATGATTTATATCATCTTTTTTTCCCGGCATGATTCATCCATGGCAGTAGTGCAGGGACTGGCAAGGGACAACACATAGTCGTTCGGATGGTACGAAAAACCGAGGTCCTGTGTACATATTGGCATGCACATGAAAGATCCCATGTCCAGGCAAAATTTCTGTCTTCATTAGCTCAGTTGGAGCAAAACAGTAGGAATTTAAACCCAATTTCATCTTTTCTTTGTTATGAAGTAAATATTGTTTGTATGGTTTTCTGTGCATTTTTAATTTCATTTTATTTACATTATAAACAATTTCTTGCAGGGAATATGTGGTTCATGCTTACGTCTTACAGATTTAAGATGTCCAACAGAATCTGTTTCTTTGGTAATTACTTTTTCGAATATATTATTTTAAAGTATATAACTTTAACTAATGAGACAGGACTATCTGATCTGGAATCAAACATTTGTCCCTGGGCATCAAGTCAGTAGCAAGACTATTAATTGGAACTTATGAAACATCACTGGACAGATCAAACTAGGCATGAACATGTTTATGAATGCCGCATATATTAACATTCATGATCCATATAATTTTGAAATAAAAACTGTATTATACACTTGTTAATAGAATAATTTTAATAATTTATGTAATTTTAAATTATCAGTATATTTATCCTACAATATTTATTACAGAATAAAGTATCGCAGGGTTGTAGGTATTGGGTGAATGTACAGAAACGCTATATACCACTAACAGGTTGCCAACAGTTATGTAACAGAACGTATAGTGTAAGTACTACCAGATCTGTGTTCTACAAATCATCGGATTATCGTCTGTAGAAGATCTGATAATCAGCTGAATATTGGCATTATAACCTTTCCTGTCCTGTTGTAAATTGTAATCATTTGTCTAGGTTTTACCTGATTTGTTTCAGTGTTGTTGTTTTTTTTGCCACACCTGTTTTATCAAGCCTTGAGCTTTATAAAATTGCAACTGTTTAGAAATCAGGATGCTATTGAGTTTATCATGTACTGTCTTCAAACTGGGCATAGTTGTTGCAGTGTATCTCCTATTCAAATTAGAAATTTATGGAGCTTTGATATTTCTGCTATTTATTAATTTTGGATGCAATGAATTGGAGAAATCAAGAAGTCTCACATTTGTACATGGATTGGTTGAGATAGATCTTTATTCTATTTATACATGGATCAATTTGAATCGTTGCATAATAATCCATCTTAAATCAATCAGTTTAGATTAATCAGCATTTTTCCAAATTTTGATTCTTGAGTGTCCTTGCTTATTAGAGGCACTGTTATTCATCAAACATGTGTAGAGGGAGTACCTTTTATTTCAGAATTTGTTAACAAATGTATTTTTGTGGCACCTGCAATGCACCTGTTTTTAGTCTGTTATATATTATTAACACTAATTGTAATTATAGATAAATAAATGTTGCGCTGGTTTTTATGGTCAAGAATGTTTAGAGTGCCCTGGAGGATTTATGAAACCATGTAATGGCAATGGTCGGGTATGTATATTATATAAATATATAAATAACTTATTTTTACTTCACAGTAGTTTCTGTACTTTTTATCTATAAAATAGTAGCCACGGTGATTAAGTGAGTAAGACATTGGCTCGCTAGTTTAGAGGTCGCGTGTTCGATCCTGGTTTTGGCCGAGAAAGTGCATCATGTTTTTTCCGGCGTGGTGTGTAGAACAGAGAGCCTGACAAGGACACCTGTTTAGTCGTCGGATGGGACGAAAACCCAAGGTCACGTGTACACATTGGCGTGCACATAAAAGATCCCTTGGCAGTTGGAATTCGATTTAAGAGTATGTCATAGCGCTGCTGTCTTGGCAAAATTTCTCTCATAGCCCTGTCTTCATTAGCCCAGTCAGAGCAGAACAGTAGGACGTTTTAAACTCCCATTTCATTGTATGTGTGGTATATCATCTAGGTCTATTTTTTATCAGTCTTTTACGTTATTAGCTTTTGTTTACCATGTATTTTATTATATGGTTATGTTATATTTTAATATGTCTTGTTACAAAATAGCTGTTATTATCAAATTTAATGTAATATTTATATAACTTATCATCTTTTATTACACAACATATGGTTATATAATACTCTATAGTTTGTTTTATTAGTGTATGGATGATATTTATGGTAATGGAACATGTGTATGTAATGAAGGATTTACTGGACCAACATGTGAATATTGTACCAAGAAAGATTTCTATGGACCAACATGTTCTCAAAGTAAGATTATCTTTCTTGTTTTAATGTTAAAAGAGAAAAATAGCACTCTCTTAAAATTCAGTGCACACCACTTTTATTTATTACAGGAGATTATAATTTATTAGATCCATGCTTCATTTGGTTTATATTGCAGCTACTAGAGATATGTTATATGGTCTACCAAATATTTAGTTCATGGCCGATTTTTATCACTGGTGGTCTGACTCTGAGATTGTGCAATATTCTCAGTCAGTTATTCTACTGCTTCTGTGTAACTCATTGGTACATTATATGATTTGCTTATAATAGATTACATTTCAATCTCACCAGAAGTGAATTATGTTAGCAGAGGTGCCAGCCTTTAATCCCGAAAAATTAAGCACCACATCTGGGGAGATAATTTGATATGAACCCCCAGAGACAGACCCCTGAGGCCAGTCGAAAGGCCCTCAAATTTGATAAAAGGGCCGATTTAAGAGACCTCAGAGCAAATGCCTCTGTGCTTGTGTCCAGCACAAAGGTCATCAGTCATCCCATCCTTCAGTGCCATTATGCACAGGTCACTTATATGATTAGAGTTCCCATTTGTTTTCTTCTCTTTTGGGAATGTACCGGCACTGAATACAGCGTCTGGATACTTTTTAGCAGTTGTTATGGTGGGTGCATGGCATGCTGATCAACATTTGCAAACGTATACTGTTCTCAAGATTTACTTCAACATACATTATGCAAGAGCTAAATCTGCCTATTGCGGGTCTTTCTTTAGGCCTTAAATGTTATTTTAATTATTAATTAGACATTAGTTAATTTATCCAGACCATAATCAACTCTCGATGTCATTGCTAGCCTGCAATATTAAGTGGATTGGAATACATTTTTTTGAAGAATTTTTAAACATAATTGAGACTTTTATCATACCGACTTTAGTAATGATGATCGAGGCTAGCCTAAAATTCAAAAGCTAATGTCTTGGTTCAAAGTTGAGCAATTTGACAAAAATTTTCAGCATATTTCAATTGTGTTATCTATTATCTGTCAACTCTTTATCTAATCTCCCATGATGCCCCTTTTTACTAACTGTAGCTGGAAGCGTTCCTTTTCCACTCTTGCGCAATAAAATTTTCAAGAGTTATTGTCCAGTCTACTTAAATTTTCTTAGTGAGAATTAAAAAGGAGCAAGGAAAATAACTCTGCTGGAAGTATTTATCAGGTAGAAATTGCTGAAACAACACCGCCATCAAAATCTCATTATTTTTCTCTCAAAATAACTGTTTATGTCTTTAGATTACATTTATGTCTGTAAGTAAATACATGTGACGTTAAAGAGTTATTTTAGAATAGAATATTTTAATTATCTAGAAACCCCAATGACAAACATTTCTTTTATATTATTATGTTTACTACTAAAACTGATTTTTTAATTTGGTTGTGTAATGATTTTGTCTGGTAGGTTCATTGAGAACTGTATCACTGAGTATCCAGGAAGATTCCAATTTTTTTGACAAGTTAATGAGACAATCGTAGGTCTTCCGTGTTATTCATTTAAAATAAATAGATTGTTATTACATCAATAACATAGCTTGCATGTCAAGACAGCAACTCGGACATCTGATCAGTTTTTCTCTTCTTTCTCTAAATGGACATCAATATTGTTATCGTGTCATCTGACTAACATTATTGACCAATCACCAAGATAATGATAAGGTTTAGAGGATCAAGTAATTGGCTTAGACAAGCTTGATTTCAAAGTCATGAGTAATAATTTCAGATCATGACATTAAAATCATGAAAATGTCAGTTTGCGTTTTTTTTCTTGTTTTCGTTGTTCCCAGATATAAAATTATTGAGTTACATTTAGCGATTTAGCAGATTAAAAACACAACAAACATTTATGTGGAATATAATCACTGATTCATTATACATATAGTGTGACAAAGTTAAAAGGACTACTCGTCTTACTACTGGAAATAGTCATTTAGTTTCTGGATAAAGGAATAAAGTATAACACATCTTATGGAAAACAGTTACTATTTTATTGAAAGAATATTCTCTCAAGCTAATGAATAAATTAATAGCTGTTTTCTGGAATCTTCCAAATTTATGAAATTGCAAAAATTCTGAGGCAGAATTGTTAAAATACTGAGAGATTTATGTCATTAATTTCTTCATTTTCGATTTGTTTTTAGCAAAAAGAAAGAGAGAAATGCGGGATTTAAACTAGGTCATTTCGGGACTAACATATGGTTCAATTTTATTTCAATAATTCACTTAAGCGCTTAGAGATCTTAATTAGTAGTGGGAGGAAACCGACGAACTTGGGCAGATAACCCTACTTCTTCTCACATACAAGCTGGTAACCCAAACCATGCCTGTTGACGCAATGACAGAACTTATGATCTACAGCATACACATTAAACCATTAGCAAAATGGGGATTGAAAGGAATATTTGCATAAATAATAGAGACTTCTTGGGGTATTTTATTTCCATATTTTAAAAACATTTTCATTAATTTGTGCATGCTTCTGAGGAAGAATGACACTTACGTTTACCAGTTTTTCAGGTGGCAATATCTTGATAAAAAGACCTCATGGGTTTGTGACCCTATAAGTTTTATTGATTAAGGTTCCTGGTTTGCTGAAATGATCAAAGATAATTGGATAATGATAACAAGCTGATCATTTCGTAAATACTTTGCTTTTATTCAACAATAATTATAACATGATAAGACAACCAGAATACTTTTAACATGGTAACACAACCGGAATACTTAAAACATGATAACAAATTTCAAATACTTAAAACATGATAACAAAACTAGACATAATAACATATGATAATGCAACTATATATATATTTATTTAACATGATAACTAACACCTCCTATACATTTTATCACATATTATATAATACAACAAAACTAGAGCATTTACACCATTGACAGCTATATAATATATATATATCAATACAAGATAACAGAAAGTGGTATATGATATCACAATAACCGGTATATGTATACGTATATAACAGACAAAAGGTACAACAAATACCAATTAGCTTTTTGAACTCATGTAATTTACAAGTTTGAAATGCAATGTACAAACAAACAACAAAATGAAATTGAATATCTTAGAACTACATTTATTGTATATCAAACTAAAATATGACCATGAAAACACTATCACTTCCTATAACGTATCCACACTTCCTAATTTTACAAACCCAGCCTGTGGTCAGTCACATTAAATTTTCATTTAATCTGATCATTATATACATATATACAATTATATTTTAGTCATTTGTTAGAAATATCACACAATGAAATCTAGATAACCATTACTATGACCAATTTGTTATAAATTTTGATCTAGCACAGGGAGCTTTAGTGCTAGTGGGCAGTATTATTTAATTTGACTATATGTAAAGATACATTTTGTAAGAGCTAAATCTGTATATTGCAGGTCTTTTTTTTTTGGCTCCAAATGTTATAAAACTATTATTTAGACATTTATTAACATGACAAACCCATAATCAATTCTTTATACAATCAGATGCGAAAGCCTGCGAGATTTAAAAATGTAACGATACAATGGATAATCGAGCCTTGTTTTCTTTTGTCCAGTTCCATGAAACGATAATAAACAATCTACACTGCATCTTCCAACACTCATAACGTAGCTCAAAATAAAGTAATTTGAATGAAATTTGCAGTGTATAATTCATCTTTATTATCTATTTTTGAACTATAATTATAGCAAGAACGGCCTGCATTTTATCTAAATCTTGCATGATGCATCTTTAAGTTTTTGTTGACAGTAATCCACCAAATGATTTACTGAAAATTTCCACTAAATGTTCATATTCCCATGGTGTGTATATTTAAGTAAGTTGGGTGTTCATGAGTGCAAAATCCACAGCTATGGGGGTCTTTTTGTAAATATTTATTGGCATGTACATGTGTTCTATACATATGTAAATCTATATACACATAATCATTATAATTGAAAAATATCTTTGATAATTTCAAAGATCAAAATATTAACATTACACAATATTATGCAGTTTCATGGAAGAATTTCACCACCTCTTTGATTCAAAATACAAACTATGTACCTACATACATCTATTATGCAATACCTGCCACAATATAAAATATTCGTAGAAAATTTAAATTACTTTTTTTTTTTTACCAATGCTTGCATGTGACTTCTCAGCATCCTGCCACACAATTATACCACTACTACTAGTGTCATAAAAATGTTGAAAGATCTCTTGACGTCCACTAAGAGAGAAGCAGCAAAATATCTTGGTCATCCTCTGAGAGAGTATTACCGGTAGCAAGATTTTGCAGTCTGACTTATTACTGTTACCAAAGACATGAACATTATTATTACACCTGATCTTGATCCCTTACCTGACGTGGTTTCCCCTTGTCAGTGGTGCAGAACGGAGGGTCTGACAAGGACAGCTGTCTAGTCCTTCAGATGAGATGGAAAACCGAGGTCCCATGCATACATTGGAATACACGTAAAAGATCCCTTGGCAGTTGGAATTCGATATAAGAGTAGGCGATAGTGCCGCTGCCCGGGCAAAATTTCCCTCATAGCACACTGTATGGCGTATGCCCGTCTTCATTAGCCTGGTATAGGAGCAGAACAGTAGGACGTTAAACCCCATGTAAATGGCTTCATCATGAACTCTTATATATTAAATCCAAGTTTACTAAATGTCATTGTGCTTGATAACGATAAGAGGATACTTGTCGAAACGTTGTGCTATTAGAATAAAACCAGTGATTGTTTCCCATAAAAATTGTGTTCTGTTATTGTGTACCCCAATCACTAAATGCCACTTAAAGATTACATTAACTATTGTTTATCACATAGATTTTAAGATTTTATTATATACTTCCAAAGGTTTAATAATATGGCCCCTGCCTATCTATCTGACTTTATATTGTTTACATTTCCTCTAAAGTTCATCTGAGAATCATGGAAAGCATAGAAAAACTCCCCCTTGCTAATGGAACCTGTCCCAGGATTGAATCATTATCATTTATTTTCAATAATAATATGCTCAAATTTTAAGGCATAGAAATAGTCAGTTATATGTATCCAAGGGTTTTGCTGTTTCTCATGGAGATGATGATTTTATTATCAGAGAAGAAATAACATAGGACCCAGTACAGACCCTTGTGGTAGACCAGTAACAAATGAGATATTCTTGTCACTTATTCTAATGATATGGTCAATAATATCAAATTACACACTAAGGTCTAGTTAAATGAAAGAAATGAAATGGGGTTTAATGTCCTACTGTTTTGCTCCGAACTGGGCTAATGAAGACGGGCATACGCCATACAGTGTGCTATGAGGGAAATTTTGCCTGGACAGCGGCACTACGGCCAACTGTTATATCGAATTCCAACTGTCAAGGGATCTTTTACGTGCACGCCAATGTGTACACAGAACCTCGGTTTTTTGTCTCATCCGAATGACTAGACAGCTGTCCTTGTCAGGCCCTCCATCCTCAATCCTTGACAAGGGGAAACCATGCCTGAAAATCTGGATGAAAAGGTCTAGTTAAGTTAAGATTGCTATTTCCAAGTCTGTATTATAACAATATTACAGACATTCTACTCGAAACACATTTAATGTAACATTCTTCTCATAATGTAACTTAAATATATAAAGATATAAGTACATGTTACTTAAAACAACATGGCATATCTCTGTCTTCATTAGCAGAAAAGTAGGACGTTAAACCCATTTCATATGCCAGTTTGCATACTAATACTAGTTTTTAGTCATTGAATAGAAACATTTTTTACCCAAATCAAATTATGGTTTAATCATTTTAAAAACTAGATGAATAAATTTAATGTCTACACATTTATATACATATAATTCGGCCAGTTCTGGTTATTTATTCCCACCGTTTATGAAGAACCAGCCTTTTTAATTGTCCATTTGTTCATGATTTTAATTTTAGGCCGCACAAAAGTTCACTATGACAATAAAAGTGTCACTAAAGGACCCATGTTGTCCACAATGCAGAGTGTGTTTAAAATATAAGCATATTTGACATATCACTCTCTGCTTTTCCTTGTTTCTGTTTTCACATGTTCATATATGTCTTTACTAACTTAAACTTACATCACAGTTTCAGCCATGGGCTTTTTATTTCAGCAACAAAACCCCTATTTAAATGTCAAGACATATAGTAGCTCCTGATCAACAGAATCACTTTGAGAAATTTTTGTTTTAAACAAAGTTCGATACCATATCCTAGTTTTCTAGGAGTCTTTTCATAAAGCCAATATGCACCAAGCAAACTCAACAAGTGTACTTGTATGGGAACTTTCCTGGTTTATTTTGGAAATCCAAGAGATTTGATTGATTGTTTCCAGTCTTATTCCCAATGCCATCTTCCACAGTATCCATCATTTGCAAAGTTGAAGAATAATATCAAAATGAAAGTGATATTTTTCATGAAAGTTGAAGTTTTTATTAACAATGAATGAAATGTTTGGATATCTGTATGTTCTGTTTCTTCTGGAAAATCAGATCTTGTTTCCATCTCTTTCAATTCCAGGATCCATGTCCATTATTAGTCAGCAGGTTGTTTCTCTGGTAATAAGATATGAAGGTCGGTGACAATTGTTGTTGCTATTGTGACCATTTCTCTTTGGTAGTTGTTTAGGGACGCAGTACCTCAAGCAAAAGATTCTTTTAAAAGTGTTCCAGAACTTTTCACTGAACCAGCAGTAAATAATAAAATTCAAGGAGGATTTTAATGCAATGAGGATCTGTGTAGCAGTTTTAAACTGTTCAAAAGCTTGAACTGATCCAAAAATATCATCTATGGTAGTCGTGAGACTGAATCTGTTGTAAGCAAATATAGCGTGGTATACAATAAATGGACCCTGGCAGGGAAAGAACGCCAGAATTATTATGATCAACATGATGGTAATCTTCATCTGTTCTTTTGATATTACTGTCTGGACGTTAGAATCAGCAGCCAGATGGTAACGTAGGTAACGACTTGACTTGTGAATCTCAACAATGAGCCGAATATTGAAGATGGTGAGTGCTATGAACGGTAAAATAGCTGTCAAAACCACATCCACAATAAGAACATAGAGGGTATTGTCGTACGCATCAGAGGTCCAGTTCCACATTGCTTCAGTTTCATTGTTGATGGTTACCCAGATAATTCCCACTTCAAAAAAGTTTGGTACTCGACAGACAAAGGACAACACACAAATGGTTGCCAACACACAACGAGCACGATTAATGGTACATATGGACATAGCTTTAAGGGGATAGCAGATGGCAATATACCGTTCAACGGCCAACATAACAGTCACCCAGATAGATGCAAGATGAGAAGAATTCATAAATATATCAACATAATGAGTCAGTATAATGTATTCATCCCGATTGGAAATAATACAACCAAGTATTCTCTCCATCAGCAGTTTGAACGAGAGCAGAAGAAGAAAAAGGAGATCAGCAATAGCAAGTGTTGTCAGATAACAATTTGTCGAAGTGCACATAGTTTTACGCCCAAGCACTATAACAGTCAAGACAATGCCCACAATTCCACCACAAACCACAATAGGTAATATTGTAGATACAAATATATTATCATCAGGCTCCATATGACATTCACCAAATGTTTCATTGGGATTCCAGATATCTGTGTCCGATATGTTGATGTCCATATTTAGAGATGAGTTATGAGATGACACCTGTGACTCTTCAGATACCAGATTCATGATGACACCTGTAACAATAAAAAAATATGAATGAAAACAAATTTACAATATCATTAGAAATAGATTTATTGTCATTAAAGCTAATTGGGAATATACCTGATCTTTCATACAGAGAATACACTATATTGTCTGTAGATAATAAATGTAATATTTGCCAACAATTGTGTTTGGTTTATGAGTCATGATTGTAAGAACATTAAGAATGTTGATTCTACTGAACACTTTAAGAAAACGTTGATAGTCTATTAATGTTATATTGTGTGAAACTCATTTGTTCCCACCTTAATTATTCTGGTAACAAAGCTAATTAATAATCAAGGAACGATAAGAATGATTCTATGCTAGTATACTATATTAAATATGATGAAACATCTACCTATTTAACCATATATACTGCTGTGATGTTAAAATGTGACCTATGATATCTGTGAAACTAATTATGTGGGTAAAATATATTATGTTATATATATAAATGTCATTATAATACAACAGATGAGAAGTATAGCACTATAGCAGTACTCCATGACATCATAGAACTAAAACACCTTAAAGGAATACTAGCACCATCATAATCATACATATTTGTTACCCATACCACCAAAATGAGACGAAAATCGCAATTTGCAAGTCATCTTTTACAATATATGAATAATCATGTGGAAATACATTTAGGCTAAAAATGCAAACATTTAAATTTAGGTTGTTTTATTTGTCAAATTTTACACTTCTTATTATATCATTAAAAAGATACTTTAGCCTATTTTAAAATTTTTATTCATATCGTAATGGACTTGCGACTTCTGATTGAATAATTTTAGATCAATTTGGGATGCATAAATCACAATAAAAAGAATACCTAAATATCTTTTTCTCCATAACCTACCCCATCCCACATTAATTTTCAGTCTGGCCTTGCCACTGCTAGACATTTATGGTCTTATCACATGACATATTTGGCCCATTCCATGCTCAGTGGTCACCATGTGAAGAAAATAAAACAACAAATAAGGCTTTATTTCTTGGTTTTATTTTAATAACAAGATATTATATTTTAACAAGTTAACATAACTTGGTTTTATTTTAATAACAAGATATTATATTTTAACAAGTTAACATAAAAATCCAATATTTGAACCTATAAATAAAACAAATTGCAAAATAAATACACACTTTGCATAGTATTTGGCACAACACAAAATCCAATCCTTCAAAAGTAGTTGAAAATAATCACAAAAAAACAACAAAATAAACAGCATGTAACTATTATAACACAACTTATATACACTCTGAATAGAATATGACATAGATTTTTTTGAATGGAATTATTTGAAAAAATTGAAAATTTGAAAATTGTATTCGTAACACATGTGACGTTACAATGTAAAAAGTTTTTATTGCAATAAATCTGAGAGGTGTTTTATTTAAGATACAAAATAAGTATTAAGTTAAGAATGTAACAGCATCAAATTTTATTGAAATAAATATAATTTAATCCAATCTGATTAAAATACAGATCTATATTTCGTTTCGTTTTTTTATACTCTCGATGGCCCCCAAAGCATGATGATCTGACCAGTTGTAGTGGGACGTCGCATCGGGGTTATATGAGTGGCTTTTGACCCTACAACATCAGACTTTTGATTAACCAATCAGCGTTGATGTTTGTACTGGGATATCCACGATTCCCTGCACCACACGCCAAGAACTGGCCGTAATATACTATGTCTGTTTTTAGCTTGTTCTCTATCCATCTCTTGCAAAATGTGGGCGTATCCTGTCTGGCAGCTGTGGTTGTCCGATTTTGATGAAACTTAAAATATATCTTTATATCCGAAAGCTCTCAGTCCCTTTTGATATTTCCCTGATTGCACGAAAAATTATATTTTTTGGGGGTGTTTTTTTTTCATTTGTTCTCTATCCATCTCTTGCAAAATGTGGGCGTATCCTGCCTGGCAGCCGCTGGTTCTTATTGCTAAGGAGTCTCTAAGTTAATCACCAGGTCCTGACCTCTTAAGAATTTCTGTCACTCTTCTGTGATGGTTAGTTTTGGGAGTACAATTTTATCTGTCAATCATACATGTCATTGCCATTAGACCAAGAACTAACTATTCCTAAATCTTACTATTAACTCTTAATTAATTTAAACTGTCATTTAATTATTAATAAACTTTGATGTGTCTCTTTAATTATAAATCTTCAAATTAACTTTGACGTCATGACCATATCTCAGTCATCTACAAGTTTATTATTTATAACGTCCGGTTTTTATACGCCCACATTTTCATGTGAAACTTCCAATCAATAGAAACAGGTAACACAAACCAATTACAGACGGTTTGATGGGATCAATTTTGACTAAGTCAAAATGATGCATTTGATATTCAGATAAGTTGATATACAATAATTAATATAATACAATATCAACGATGGTTTTTATAAGCTCACATTTTCATGTGGATGTATATTGTCGTCGTCCCTGTCTGTCCACAATTTGTTTGTGGACACTCTACAGGTCACAATTTTTATTCGTTTTTGACATAACTTCATGGATTATGACCCTTGATTGTACGAAAATTCACGTTTTTAGCTTGTGGACACTCTACAGGTCACAATTTTCATCTGATTTTGATGAAACTTGAAATGCATGTTTATAACCAAAAGATATGGGTTCCTTTCAATATTTATGTATATCAGATCGTAACTTCCTGAATTTTGGCCCTTGAATGTACGAAAAATCTCATTTTTGGCTTGTGGTCCCTCTAGAGGTAAAATTTTTTATCCGATTAAAAAAATGTTTGAATATATCACTGTTACACCCTAATGTTGGTTGAGTTTGAATTTTGTGAAAATCTGACCAAAACTGCTGTACAAAGTGGCCGCCCCTCGTACGCAAATAGTGTAAATATATGGTATTTCAAGGTTGTGGACCCTCTAGAGGACACGATTTAGATCCAATTTTGATGAAACTAGAAATACATGTTTATAACCCAAAGATCTTGATTCTTTTCGATATTCACGCATATCGGATCATAACTTTCTGAATTATGGCCCTTGATTGTATGAAAAATCGCGTTTTTAGCTTGTGGTCCCTCTAGAGATAATAATTTTTATCTGATTCAATAAACTGTTTGAATATATCACCATTTCACCCTAATGATGGTTGACTTCAAATTTCGTGAAAATCGGACCAAAATTGCCGCACAAAATGGCCACCCCTCGTAAGCAAATAGTGTAAATATTTGTGGACCCTCTAGAGGCCACAATTTAGATCCGATTTTGATGAAACTTTGAATACATGTTTATGACCAAAGATGTTGGTTCCTTTTGATATTCGTGCATATCGAATCGTAACTTCATGAATTATGACCCTTGATTGTACGAAAAATGTTGTTTTTAGCTTGTGGTTCCTCTAGAGGTCACAATTTTTATCCGATTGAAAAAAAAAACGTTTGAATATATCACCGTTACACCCTAATAATGGTTGAGATCGAATATTTCGTGAAAATGGGACCAAAACTGACAGACAAATGGCCGCCCCCCCCCCCCCCCCGTACGCAAATAGTGTAAATATATGGTATATCAAGGTTGTGGACCCTTTAGAAGTCACAATTTTGATCTGATTTTGATGAAATTTGAACCATCTTTATTACCCGCACATATCAGGTCGTAACTTCCTGAATTATGGCCCTTGATTGTTTGAAAAAATCTCTTTTTGTTTAGCTTGTTCTCTATCCATTTCTTGCAAAATGTGGGTGTATCTGCCTGGCAGTCGCTGGTTGATGAAGGAAATACCTTTTAGAAATCATCTGACTAAAAGTCTTAAAATTTGACAAAATCAGAATGATAACCTCTTTTTGAAGTTCCATCTGCAGTTTTCAATTTACTATAAGCGTAACACACATGACAAAATATATTGACACACAATAAATGATTATTTTTATACGCCCACATTTTCATGTGGACGTATATTGTCGTCGCCCCTGTCCGCCCAACGATCCGTCCACAATTGTTTGTGAACACTCTAGAGGTCACAATTTTTATCTGATTTCAACGAAACTTGAAATATAGGTTTATCATCCTAAGATCTTGGTTCCTTTCGATATTGGCATGTATCGGACTGTAGCTTCATGGATTATGGCCCTTGATTGTATGAAAAATCACGTTTTTAGCTTGTGAACACTATAGAGGTCACAATTTTTTATCCGATTCGGTTTAAACTTTAAATATATGTTTATAATCCAAAGATCTCAGTTCCTTTCGATATTCGCGCATATCGGACCGTAACTTCCTGAATTATGGCCCCTGATTGTACGAAAAATCGTGTTTTTAGCTTGTGGACCCTATAGCGGTCATAATTTTTATCGGATTTAAAAAAACATTTAGTATATCACTGTTACACCCTAAGGATGGCTGAGTTCGAATTTCGTGAAAATCGGACCAAAACTGACTGACAAAATGGCCGTCCATCATTCTCAAATAGCGTAAAAATATGGTATATCAAGGTTGTGGACCCTATAGAGGTCACAATTTTTATCCGATTTTGTTGAAACTTGAAATGTAAGTTTATAACCCAAAGATCTCAGTCCCTTTCGATATTCGCGCATATCAGACCGTAACTTCCTGAATTATGGCCCCTGATTGTACGAAAAATCGCGTTTTTAGCTTTTGGACCCTATAGAGGTCATAATTATTATCCGATTTAAAAAAATGTTTGCATATATCACCGTTATACCCTAAGGATGCTTGAGTTCGAATTTCATAAAAATTGAACCAAAACTGACAGACAAAATGGCCACGCCTCGTAGACAAATAGCATAAAAATATGGTATATCAATGTTGTGGACCCTGTAGAGGTCACACTTTAAATCTGATTTTGATGAAATTTGAAATGCATGTTTATAACCCAAAGATCTGCATTATGACCCCTGATTGTACGAAAAATGGCGTTTTTAGCTTGGGGTCGCTCTAGAGGTATATTAAGGTTGTGGATCCTCTAGCTGGAGG